CTTCAGCACCGAAGCTCTTCTGGTTGAAATTACTGATTTAGTGCTGGCTTTGCCGAACGCTTGTTAACACAATCAGTCAGATCACTCTCGGAGTCAGCCCGTGTGCTTTGTCATGATGTATTCATATTAAAGTGTAAATGAAAAGAAAATAATATAGAATTTCCCGTTGACTAACAATTATTCAATTATCCTAATTATAAATAATACCGAATATACACCCTTGCTCATCTTTCTACTAAATGGTAATTGCAATCGAACTGGATAGGACAGATGATCCCTTCAAACCGGGTCAGACCGAGTTTTAGACGTATTAGATCTTTCTAGTTGGGCCGAACCTGACTTCATTGAAAAGAGGGACAACAGGCGACGAAACCCTAAAAATGTGGAGCCTAATTTAGTGATTCCCTGCATGTTTACTTGGGGAAAGAAGAATGGCTTTGCAGGGACTAAGCACCATAAGGACGATGTTCTTTTTTCTTTAGGTTTTCTTTTAATTATTCGTTCGCTTTTTTTTGCTATAATTCTCTATTTACAAGATCATACCAGTTATTATTACTTTTTTATTCACAGATAACCAAAACAGCAAAAACAAAAAAATAAACCTTATTTCTAGGAAGACTGTCAAATAAAGCCATGGCATAACCAGGGAATTTTTTTGTCCTGAGGAACTTTTCTTTCTTTCAAGCTTTGTCAAACAAGGTCAACATTATTGCCTGTTTCACTCGAACAGTCTTTCGTGAACTTCTCGCGCACGGTGTTGAGTCATTCCGTACGAAAACTTTATAATACTTCCGAGAAGCTAACCATCCACTTAGTTATTGTCAAAAGCCGTTTCATAAGCTAAACAAATTAAGACTATGCTTTGTATCATTTTGTTGGTCCCATGGACCATCGTGCCAGAATATAGTCAAGAGTACAATCATTAATTTTCCATAATAAAATAAGCCTTTGGGATAAGTCTTATTTGCAGAGAATCCTGGTCACTATTTTTCTTGTTTACGGCTTTGCAAATCGGCAAGGTAATTTTGAGCTCGAATTTAAACCATGAACTAAAGCTTTGTTGCTATCTTTCGTTCTTCAAGGCCGAGGGCCACTCGAAAATTAGCGATAGTCCGAGATGACATAAAATCCTCAGTATGATCACTTTTATGTTCTATTCAATTTGTATACAGGGGCACCCAACGAGAATATAGTTCAAAACCACTTAACCATAGCATTGTTAAACGTATTTTAGTAGTTAAACGGTAGATATAGGCATATTTTTTCCCCTAAAAACTTTTCTGAGTATCTGTTCGGATTTCCCAGATGAAAGTCTAGTGATCCGAAATAATAGGGATCAAAACTTGCCTTTTCGAAACTTATCTCAGCCAGAAAAAAGGCTCCCGAAAATTCGAGGTGACATTTTTAGGGTAAAAATCCGTTAAAAATGGGCAATCATACCATGTTTTAGATGTTCGAAAACCCTGGGAGAGGCAGGCAAGCAAGAAATTTTACAACAAATGTTCCGAAAATTCTAGATTTCGAATCGTCTTCCGAACGGAATATTTTCCGAAAATTTACGTTGGGTGCCCCTAGCCTGATGTATAGCTTATTTGCCATTAATTGTTCCACAACATTTACCTTTTCTTCAAATTTCTACTACTGGGGAGATCCTTAACTCGCCAATGTTTGCAAAAAAAGGCTGGCAAATCTTTCAGTTTAGTTTACTGACGCCGAGTTAATTTCGAGCCAAGGTGTGAATTTTGAATAATATAGATGGTTTTCACAGTGACGTCATCAGGTTGTAAAGTCGAAATAGCGAGGTTTTATAAATTCTTATTCACACAAAGTTGAGGATAAACAATAAATACATTTTTATTACAAGTTTCCAGTCCCGTAGCATGTTTCGTTTCGAAAATAAAGCAATTTGAACTTCCGAGTTTTCACGGTGCGTGACACCAAAATAGGAATGCTGTCTTGTCGAAAAAAAGTCTCTCCTCTTGATTTTCAGCAGCATAACCATTTCAAGTATTAGAAGATATGTTTATGTACACGTATGCTAGTGTTCGGGTTAAAAGAAAGAGCTTTTATAGAAAAAGTGAACTCCAGATGTTTTTGATGATTTCCGGCGGCCATCATTGGTGCATCAAAACGGGACACCAATATGGCGTCTCCATACAAAGCTGTACAAAGGTGCGTGAAACGTTTCGGCAAGTAACTCAGAAACTGTGGTCCACAAAGACCTGAGACTTGGACAAACTGTTTATATATTAGTCTTTTAAAACATTTCTAGGCTTCTTCCACTGGACGGTTTCCAACAATTTATTTTTTGTTGTTGCGTGACAGTGAAAACAATCTATATATCTCTATCGATTATCTGTGTTAATGTGTCAGAAAAGTGTATCATAATAAAAATTTGACGATTGGCATTTTAACATTTAATAGTTTTCACTAGTTTTTGACAATAAAGCATTTAACGCTTCAGGCATTTTTTAAAATTGATTTGTACTTTATTCATCTGAAATAATGATCGACTAAGTGTCCTGACGTCGTCAGCCTGACTTGCAGCTATCATAATAAGACTGTTTTAAAACATTGTGCGGAATTACTCTTTCTTTTTTGTAAGAATATTGTTTTTCTGACCCAGGCTGAATATTCCTATTTTTCTGCCGATTTTAGGCTGAAAATGTTCTGGTAATATTCTTAATTATAGCCAGACTGTAGGCAATAGACCTTGTCACTGTTTTCGACGCCATCTTGACGAGTAGGCAAACGCGTGAGAAATTACAGTATTTGTATGAGAATCTAATGTCGAATAATTTCCGTAAAACGGCTGTTCTGAAAAAAAATATCAATTGTAAACTAAAGCTACAAGGCAAAGGATTGTCCTAAAAAAATTTTGGGGCGTACCTGTGCTTAAATTTCTCCAGAGGCTTGCTTTAGATTTTCCATATATTTGTCTGTAATTTTCCCGGGACTTTCTTACAGACAAATGCATAGAAAATTTTAAAAAGTGGTTCTAGGTCTTCTAGTGCATGTAACGCCCTAAAATTTTTTCAGGAGAATCCTTTGGAGTGAAGCTTTAGTTCACAAATCATATTTTTTTCAGAACAGCCGTTTCCACGGAAATTATTCGACATTAGATTCTCATACAAACACTATCGTTGGCAAAGGCAGCGATCTCTCATATAGAGATCGCCTTATTAAGCTAAGGCTACTGCCGCTAAATTACTGGTTGGAATATTTGGATCTGGTTTTCTTTTATAAATACCTAAATAGTATGGTTGATTTTACCTTTGAATTTGATCACTATTTCCCTTTTGCTCAGGGACGCACGCGCCGTGCAAATGCTGCTCATTGCGTTAAGACAAATTATGCCCGTACTTCCCTTTTCAGAGATTACTTTTTCAATAGAATTGCGATAATATGGAATGGTATTCCTGAAGATATCAAAGTAGCTACTACACTATGCTCTTTCAAACGCCAACTCAAATCTTTTTACTTTAAGCGATTATATAATGTTTTTGATGGCGACAATGTACGTTCTTTCAAGATTATTTGTCCCAAGTGTCGCTGTGTAAATATTCTAAAAGCTTGCTCTTGTTAGTATCATTGTAGTCCACGATTTATTACCTTTTCCATGTTTTCTTTCTACTTCTTAGGTTGATATCTATAGTATATTATTAATTTTTAATTCTAGTTTTTTGAGGTAAGGGGTTGGTTTTTCTACATTTTATGGTGTTGGATTAGGAGGGTGAACCAAGTACTACGTGTCCTATTGTTCTCTCCCCTGTACATTGTACGAATCTATAAATAAATAAATAAATAAATAAATAAATAAATAAATATATGAAAGGGTAGGAAATTCACTTGTTGAGGTATATAAAAGGGTAGGGAAATCTGTCGTTTGGGTCTGTAAAAGGGCTCAAGGGCTAACAGATGAATTTTATGGCTTTACTAAGTCGAGAAAACGTTCTATTTTTGAGATTGATTCCTATTTGAAAAGACAGTGCATTTACAGTCATATTAAATTCTGCAAGCAGAATACTGCAATACTGATCGTACTACGTGAAAATTAACTCTGCAAGACATAAAACGACACCGAAAGAACTCAAAACAGAGCGAGATTGTAGCCATAGACAGCTGTTTCGCCCTCTTTGGGGCTCGTCAGTATGGCGTAACAAACAGAGAAGGCTCTGATAAAAAATATATCAGGTCTTTATAGATCCTACGTTCTTCGGCATATTCATTTGCCGTTCTTTGCAGTCCTTTTGTGGTTAATGTTTGTACTTTAGTGCATTTACAGCAGTTTAAAGGGATGCAAAGTTCTAAACAAAGTATGTGAAAGGAGCACCATTTGTCAATAGAATGTATAGGAAAGGGGTTGAAAAATGGTATACAAGAAGGTAAGGGGCTGGACCTCCAGGCGAAGCCTCTCCGTATAAACATCTGTTGAGTATCCCTCCGCCCCGGTTACCAGACTGGGCCCCCTGTTAGGGATCCTAAATTGTCCGGATTCGTGTGGACGGGGCCTAGTGAAGTATTTTAAAAATTCTGACCCTGGGATCTCTTTTTTTTCTTTTTCTCTCTCGAAAGACCCTCTTGAAATGTCACACAATGAGAATAAATAAAACGTAACAAAATCCTGTTTAATAATCACAGAAAAATTCCACGCTTTGTTGCTCAAAACAGGTGGATGACAGCACCACCGCCAGCATTATTTCTGCTATTTTTTTTCCCGGCAAGCTTTCTCTTAAGCAGATCATTCAATAACATTAGTAAAAATTAAAGATTTTTCTTAATTGATTAAGAAAGAAATATAAATTCACAAGGCTATCGTGTCAGTGTTTTGCACTTAAACGGCGAAATAGCTTTTAAAAGACGAGTTAATCAAAGCAATTCACTGCAGGTTACTCTCAGAGGACCAGTCAAGCGTTTTATTCCATAAACAAGCTAACTGAGTTTCATCAAATGAAGAACAGCAATATTTTGAGATGATAAAATTTTTTCCTCTTTTTCTGGACGGCGTTCCTCATACGGTCGGTCTTATACGTGACGTCACGAGTGTGTATCGATTATCAACGATTGTCCCCGTCTGGAAAGTTCGTCTGGAATAATTTTACGGGGGCTTTGTTCCGCGCTTGTTTGGCGGTGAGGCTCTTTCCTCGCATGACTAAGCAGAACGCGTGTTGGTTCAGAAATCACTGATTTCGTTTAATACTGGTTAAACGCGATAAACCATGAAGTTGTGGCGTGCAGTGTGCATTTGGATTTCTTGTGTTGTGATGCAAAATGTTTCCACTGGTGCCTCGACGATAAGGAAATACTACATCGCCGCTGTAGAGGAAGAATGGGACTACGCTCCGAGTGGCTATAACAAGGTGAAAGGCGTCAAACTTGCCGACGACGGGTAAGAGAAATAGAAAAGAGACACAGTTACGTTCAATATGATAAATGATATGATCCATTATGACACGATTATGAACGTTCCTCCGCGGGAAGGGTCTCTCGACAACCAAAATGAAGCCATGCGTTATGCAATATGTATACTTTGATTAGTAAACTGTTAGTAGTACGTGATGGTTGAAGATGCAGTGACATTTGTCATATGGAGGAAATTTCAAGGCACTTAGTTCTGAAGTTACCAAATTTAGTCCGAGAATTAATGTAAGTGGGCATACAATCTTATCATTTGGAAAATAGCCATCGTCCATCTTTGCTTTCGATTTGCGTGATTTAATTTGCTTCGCCATATTCGCCATTTTGCTTTTTATTCTTTTAACTACCGTGAATTGATTGCTCCAGTCACAACGATGGAACTTTTGAATTATGCTATGTTTTCACTGATCTAAAAATGACAAAAAAGACAAAAAATCAGTGGTTACTATCGTAGAATGCAGCTCGCAGGCTGTGCTTCTTCCGGGATTCCTTCATTTCCGTGATGTGCAAGCCGAATAACAGCTGAGATTTCCGGGAATCTTCTGAGGTCACGGTCGTGGTGTGAACTAACTCGGCAGCACTAAAACACGGAATCCGGAATCCGGAAACGGAAACGGAATCACGGAAACGGAATCACGGAAACGGAAACGGAAACAGCATACGGAATCAAATATCGATGATAGAAAATTAAAGAATTTCACAATACACAATTTAGTACAATCCAAAGAGAATTTGTCTTAGTTTTCTTGGCAGTTCCCTTAAATATACTCTTGTTATTGTGTCTTGATAAGGTTTGCCATAGTGTGGGTTACTGCACTGCAAGGCCGATGAAAGTAATTTTACGAGTAATTTTTATTCACGAGTTCATGGGTTGAATAATACAGTTAAATATTACTTTTGTAGCTAATTGTCAAGAATAGTCGAAGTTAGCCTCAGACCACACCACGTGATTGTCCCCAAACTGAATACTCCACACATGACCGACCGGTGACGTGACCACAGTTCCGGTGTTTTAGCAATAAGTTAAACTTTTTCGCCAAGCTGAATACTGATGCAATACTGGTGTACCGGTAATTGAGTTTACGTGGACGTCCGTATTTTTGTTGAAGAGGCTTATTAAACATGGCGCATTATTTTGATGTAATCGGTTGCGGAATCAAGCAAATGCATGCACAATTCTCTCTTCTCTTTGGACTCCACAATGCCATGGTCTCTTGAGTAAGTTGTCTTGATAAATAAAACTGAACACTGTTGAAGACAACCCAGAAAAGACACTGAGAAAAACTTGACGGCGACGCCTTTCAGTTATGTAAACTACGCCTCAGACGATTCAAACGAAGTCTGTCTCCATATAACTTACCTTTTTCTTAAGGCACTAGTTTTTGTCAGTCACGTTTTTCTCCTCGCTTTGCTGTCCCATGAGAATTTGCATCCATTGCCGACAGTGGTATCAAGCGTCTTTTCACTGGAATCGACTCCTCTAGTGACACAGCAGTCTCCTCTCCTGTACTCAGCTAATTTATTCATTTGTGCCTTTTTTTTTATCTGTTTATTTATTTCATTGTCATTGCTAATATTATTTTTTTCAAATCGATCGCTTGGAACCTTCTTTCACAGATTCCGTATTCCGTTTCCGTTTCCGTTTCCGTGATTCCGTTTCCGTTTCCGGATTCCGGATTCCGTGTTTTAGTGCTGCCGGAACTAACTAGTGTCAGATGTTTGTGTTCGAGAGTTTTTGTTTCTGTTTTAGAGATGCATGATAGCAACTGATAAAGATGATGAATGCTGTTTCCAGTTGCTTTCCTTTGTCTTAGACAGCTACAACTGATGTACATTCCTACATCACAGGGAACTGACTTTTTTTAATCCGTATGTCACGCAAATATTGAAACAAAAATATATTTTTAAAGATCTATTTATCACCCATGATTTAGGAAACCTGCATAGGTTTGTTAAATTCCACTTAAACTCTCAGAAATATCAGATCCCAAAATTAAAAAAAAAGAAGATGATAATTCTCATGCACCCCTCTCTCTTTTCTTGGAGGGAGGAAGAGAGAGGACCCTGGGAACAAGTTTGAAATGTATGTATTGCACTCTCCCCTCTCCCCTGCTCTTATTTTTATAGGTTTGGTACGGACTTTTTATAAAATTTCACAGTATGATAAATCGATCTGTGAAGACGTAATTTATTTCACTTGAAAGCATCAAAAATTGCAATTTTGTGTACCATAAGTAATTTTAAGACAACTGTCATGCGATGGCCATTTTGTCTCGGGAGGTTTGAAAAGCTTTGTTTATGTGCGGCTAGCCTTGTTCTCTCTATGAGGCCAGCTGTGCATAAACAAAGCTTTTTAAAGATCCTTTTTTTTCAGATTTTGGAATCTGATATTTCTGGGAGTTTAAGAGGTTTTTTTACAAACCTTTGCAGGTTTCCTAAATGATGAGTGATAAATAGATCTTTAAAAATATATTTTTGTTTCAATATTTGCATGACATATGGATAAAAAAAGTCTGTTCCCTGTGGTGTAGGAATGTAGGTGTCTCAGACAAAGGAAAGCAACTGGAAACAGCATTCATCGTCATTATCAGTTGCTATCATGCATCTCTAAAACAGACACAAAAACTATCAAACACAAAAATCTGACACTTTTTCACACCCCGACTGTGACCTCAGAAGATTACTGGAAATCCCAGCTGTTATGTGGCTTGCACATCACGGAAATGACCCTTTGGGAGGAGTATTGGCTGTTCTGAAGATAAAGAATGGGTACAGACAATGTTGTTTTGTTTTTTTTCTTCTAAAAATTTTAAAAAAGTTTAATATTCTATGAGAAGTGTTTCAATTTTGGAAGCAAGGACCAACATTACAAAATAGAAGGACTGGATCTAATCAGTTGAGAATTAAAATATCTGAACAATGGAAAGAAGCAAGGCTGATTTTACAGTCGGGAATATAATTTTTTTTGTTTTGCCAATATTTCGAAAGGCATGGCCTTTTTTCTTCATGGTCTCGCATACATATGAGAAGTCTGGAACAAAAAAGCGGTTCTTAATGACCATTTGGCCCACCACTGTGTGATATCTGCATGGCATTCGATTTTTTGGGAGATTATTTCTTGACTACCTCATTAAAGGTAGAGTATAAAAATTTAAATTACCCCCAACATCAGTCTGATCTGTGTGTGGTCATTACTTTTTTTGGCACCTAAAGGAGACCATTGGTATTCTTTTCCATGGATATTTCTTGGCACACAGCTTCAAGCCATAAATGTATGGATAAAAATATTTGCTTTCCCCCGTGAATATATAAGAAATATCAAACCTGCAATTTCCCCATAACTATCATGGATTTTTTCCGGGGATTTCTCAGTCATGAATTCTTTGCTTCACGTTTGGCCATTCATTTGAAAATTCTCGTGCGTTAAATATTGTAAAAGAGAATGACCCTTATTTTCAGTCTTTACTTTTCTGTAGTGATGCTGCAGTCTTCACGACCCGTGGTAACCACACAATAGGACACAAGTATAAGAAGTTTCTGTTTCGTGAATACGAGGATGCTAACTTCCAAAAGGAAAAGCCGCACCCAGACTACCTTGGGTTTCTGGGGCCTATACTCAAGGGAGAGGTGGGAGACACGATTGTGGTTCACTTCAAGAACAAGGCCGGTGGTAACTTTTCAGTACACCCACACGGTGTGTTTTACTCGAAGGACTCGGAAGGCGCCCTGTATGTGGATGAGACAAGAGGAGCATCGAAAAAAGACGACCATGTGCCGCTGAATGGTGAACACACGTACACTTGGAGGATAACTAAGGACCACGCCCCAACAGGCGATGACGATGACTGTCTTACTTGGATTTACCATTCACACGTGTTGCCGCACAAGGACATTAACACTGGGTTGATTGGTGAGATTAAGCTTGAGAATGTTTCTGTGTTTTCGATGTCAACGTGTTATAAAAAGCTAACTGATTCAAATATGAGTATGGCCCTCGGAAACTTTTTACGCGTGCCATCGTCAGTATTTTCTGTGTAGCCAACTTTTTGAAAACCGCCGGTGTGGTTTGTAATTGGCCACTAGAGTAATCAACAATCAATGACTTTATTGACTTTATCTTCGACATGAAGATTTCACTGAGTACCAAAACAGTCAATATAATAACAACTGAAACAAAGTAAAATAAAAGTGAAGTAAGAGAGAAAGGAAAAACAACAATATTATATATTGAACATTAACATAGAGACTTACATGGCTATGTGTGGCTTCTACGCTACTCGTATTTTAAATTAGAGTTCGGATTTGTAACAATTTAGACTATTTTCAATATAAGAGGCACAAAGATTTATAATAATAGTAATATGACCCCAGTTAAGTGCGTTCGAGCCGTTAGAGTCAAACCAGGTCAAGGGAACTACCATAGATTTTATTATTGAATCGATTCAGTTATTTGCAGCTTGAGTCCATTAGAGGTGAATACAGTTTGAGAAATATTCCCTATTTTCGCTGAAATATTTTAACCGTCTAGTCACGTGACTTACTTACAAAAAAAGCAAGCAAGCAAGTAAGGATGGGAAACTGCTTGCCAAGTTCCACAAATATTCGAAAAGATGTTTCTGGTTGAAATGAATATCCATCTGACCAGTGACTGAGTCAAACCAGTCCTCAGGTTCCCCGGCATTATCTATTGAAGTAACCGAGTACTTTTCTGTTTCACAAAACTGAAAATAAAAGAACCGCGAAACGTTACAGAGATGAAGCCGTCATTATAGTTACTTCTTTTTTTGCCCTTATTTTGTGTCCAAAATGTCAGGTATCTTGCTGACGTGCAAAAGTGGAGCTTTAGCAGGAGGAAAGACAAGAGGTGTTGACAAAGAGTTTTTGGCGTTGTTTTCTGTGCTGGATGAGAATGATAGTTGGCTGCTCGACGAGAACATTAAGACCTACTGCAGTGATCCACAAGGAGTAAATAAAGAAGATGAGGATTTTAGGGAGAGTAATAAGATGCACGCTATAAACGGTTATTTCTATGGAAATCTACCGGACCTGGAAATGTGCTTAGGAGATACTGTTAACTGGCATTTGGCTGGGATTGGTAATGAAGTCGACTTGCATACAGGTAAGATTCGCCACATTTAAGGGAATTCAAGACAGTCGTGGATTCTGAATTCTACGCCGCGGATTCCGGATTTTTTGTCAAGGGAACTTGGATTCTGGATTCAATTGTTAGTGGGATTCCGGATTCTTTGAGCTGTACTCCAGATTCCAGATTTCACAAGCAAAAATCTACCGGATTCCGGAATCTGATCAGATTCCCCTACTTGGGGCGATAAGATGGCCAAAGCCGCAATTTTGTAAGAACTTACACTCAGTCAAGACCATATTTGTTATTTATAAGAACACAGGCAGCAATCAATGTAATGAGCGTAAAAGGGAAAATGTACCCTGAAAACGTAAAGAACTGGTCTGGGTCCTTCTAGCTAAGTCGCTAAAGGCAAAAAGATCTATAGGTAATTAGGCACGCCACGACTAGCATTTTGGCTAACTGCGGGCCAAGAAATTGTAACTAAGTAAAATTACGGTAATACATGTTGTATTGTTTTCTTTTGGGTAACTTCAACGTTTGAAACATGTGCAAGTGATCAGCGCGTCTTACCCGCAAGCTGTTACCGTCTTTCTTATTCCTGCTAGTTTTGAGTTTTGATCAACTTACGTTTGTTTAGTAGTTTAGGATTGTTTGAGTGAATGACATGCCTGTGAACTTTCGCCGTAGCCCGCCAGCCCGGTGCGTCCATCTCTCTAATAAGAGCGGGCTCACAATGTACTTGATGTTTAGGTTGTGTAGCTGGCGTTTTTTTTGAAACACTGTGAAAGAAACACGGTAAAATGGTGTGGTTTCTACTTTCCTTCTCCCTATGCCTTTGTCTCTTTTTTTTCTTTATCCTCTTTCATTTCTCTCGCTTTTTTTCTTGCGAATCCTTTACCGAACTCCAAAGAAACCGCCAGCTGCGCTCAACGGCTGCACAGGCTATTGTCTAGCCAAGAAACTCTCAGGCAATTTTCAGGGATTTTCAAAATTGAAATTTAACATTTTCTTTCTATCAATAGCTTATTTCCATGGACAAACTTTTACAGTCGACAACCATCGCAAAGACGTTGCTTCTCTTCTACCTGCAACTTTCGTGACGGCTTCTATGAAGGCCTTAAACCCAGGGACGTGGATGTTAAACTGCCTTGTTAACGATCATTATAACGCCGGTATGTACGCGCTGTTTAATGTAACGAAGTGCGATGGAAAAAAACATCCAGTCCCAAGTGTAAGTGGCGGGAAAAAGCGGACTTACTACATCGCGGCAAACGAGATACCGTGGAACTATGGGCCAACTGGTATGAATAATATGAATGGAAAGAGCTTGACACTGGCAGATAGGTACGAACTTCATGATCAGATTTCAAATAAAGCTCCAGTTCTAAGGCTGCGGCACTCATGTTTTATAGTCGGACTTAAGATTAACCTGACTGATTCAAACGGCGTCGAACCAAAACAGAAAAAGATTTTAATGACGATGATGATAGTAAAGTAATAAATCAAAGTAAAAATGATAATGATAATGATAGTAATAATTTAAATTCCCTTCATTTATTCATTAGTTTCGGCACATGAAAAGTTCCGTCGTGCGAATCAGCAGTCGCCCCAGTGTTGGATAATGCGACAGTGTCTGCCCAACTTAACGTTGCGTGCCGTACCAAACTTAACTACTGAACCAAACTGATTCAAACGCCGGTTTTCGCCTTTTTCTGTATCTAATTCATCTGTAAATGAAGGTGCAGCTGCTGTTTTCTGGAATCAGACCTGAGGGTTTGGCCATGCTGTCTCAACTTGTCTGTTCACTTGTGTGTGTGTTTTTTCTATTTGCTCAGCGACTCAGCCGTTTTCTTCGCCCAAGGTGATAAGAGGATTGGAGGAACTTATCTAAAAGCGATTTACGAAGAGTACACAAGCAGCACCTTTACAAGTAAAAAGAACAAATCAGATCATCTTGGTTTCCTGGGGCCAGTCATTCGAGCGGAAGTCGGTGATATCATCGAAGTAGTCTTCAAAAATAACGTAAGAAAATAGTGATTTAGCCGTTTGATTCTGGATCCAAGAAAAGGGAAATAATTTCTTCAAAGTATGTTCCCTGGTTAGTAACGGGCGATGAAGTTAACCTCTGGTACGGAACTTTTTGCGATTGCCGCGGTCTGGCAACTGGTCACTAACTAAAGAGTACGGCCCAGGGCTCTTCAGAGTACTGATTGCTGTAACGGAGAAAATGTGGTATTTTGAGTAGAAATCCGCTCATGAAAGGTGTCACTCGTTTTTAGGTCTCGAGTAAAATTACTATTCTGCCTTGGAACAAAAAGTTTATTAATTACAATTTAAGTCCTGCACTTATTACGTTACGGTCTCCATGTCATTGTAACTGTTTGGAAAAACACTTTATTGTTTTATTAATATATCAAACGAGAGGCACATTGTTCATCATTTGATCAAACGCTGAGATCAGAATTGTAAATTCGACGCAAAGCGGTGTATTTTTGACTAATCGTCCCATGTGGTAAAGGAACCCAAGACAGTCTTGGATTCTAGATTCCAGGTACTGGATTTCAGTCTTTGTCAGGGAAACTTGGATTCTGGATTTCATTCCTTTGTGGGATTCCGGATTCCTTAAGCTGTCTTCCGGATTCCAAAGTCGAGGATTTCGGATTTTACGAGGCAGGCCTTAATTTTCCCAGATCCCGGATTCCAAAAACAAAAGTTTCCCGGATTCTGGAATCCGGATTGCCTTACATTTGGCAAGACTAACTTGGAGGTGTTTGTTATTATTTGGAGGCGCCCACGAGTCCTGATATTATGATGAAATAACGCCTCGAATTTTTGATATTGGTGATTTTACGATCGGACGACGCGACGGCGGCGAAAACGTCGCTTCAAAAATGAACTTGCGTCCTTTCGGTCTTTAACGCGATTATTCCAACTCACCTACTTTGTCAAATGTACGCGAACCCTCCCGGAGTTGAATCTCGATGAACTACATTCAAGTTTAAAGAGAGAATAAAATTTCGTCCTCGCTCGTTAACTTTCTCCCTAAAAAGTCTAATCAGACAATTTCACGTCGTAGCCGTGAAAAAAACGGCAAAGAAATGTACAAAACAGTGAGATGCACGTGCAAAGCTGTGGTTTTGTCTACCAAATCTATTGTTATTTTTGACGTTCTCGTTGCTGTCGCGTCATCGGATCGCAAAGTGCCTATTAGGGACTTTAAGATCCAACGACGCGGACGGCAACGAGAACGTCAAAAAACAATAGGTTTTATACGCAAAACAACAACTTTGCACGTGCATCACATTTATTTGTACATTTCTTTTCCCGTTTTTGCACGACTACGACGTGAAAATGCCTAATTTCGCGTTTTATGGAGAACGTAAACAAGCAACGACGAAATTTAATTTCTCTTTCTGAACTTGGACATGGTCCCTTGGAATTTAACTACAGGAGGGTTCGCCTACATTTGACAAAGTAAGTGGGTAGGCATAATTGCGATGAAGACTGAAAGGACACAAATTCACTTTTTAAGCGACGTTCTCGTTGCCGTCGCGTCGTTGGACCTTAAAGTCCCTATTACCTATCAAACGAAATGTTTTAGAGGGAGAAATAAAGGATACAAACGAGAGGAGTTTTTGAAATGATTGCCAAACAATCATTAAACATTTATTTAATTCCTTTGTATTTTCTTTATAGGTTATTAATGAGTTTGAGATAAATTACTTAAGATTCGGAGTTTGTTCATTTTTCATGCAGGCAAGTCACAACTACAGTATTCAACCACATGGCGTCTTCTTCAACAAGTCTAATGAGGGAGCCTTATACCAAGATCATACATCCGGGGCTGAAAAAGCCGATGATATTGTGCAACCAGGCCATATTTACACTTACCGGTGGACTGTGCCCGAGCATGTGGGGCCAACAAATGCTGACGCACAATGTGTCACGTGGTTGTACTATTCAAGTGTAGATCCAGTTAAGGATACTTATTCTGGTGAGTCTCGAGTATTAAGCTATTCCCTCCGAGAGAATAAACAGTCAGTTGCAGAGAGTAACTCGTATACGAAGCGCTATTTTCCCGCGCTTGCATGCGGCTGCATGTTTTCCCGCCGTTTGGGAGTAGTAGGGAGCTTTAGGATCTACGACGCCCAGTAGCTAGTTATTCAGTTGAAGTACTTTCCCGTGTTACCCTCGTTAAATAAAGTTGACTATTATTATTATTATTATTATTATTATTATTATTATTATTATTATTATTAAAACAGCGAAATCGTTACAAAAAGTAATGCTTCAAACTTATTCGCTTTTATTTGATCTCGTTCAATTTGTTAAATAATGGGGGAAGTTAATTTCTGGAGTTGAATCCTAAAAGACTGTATCTAAATTCATTAAATCGTTTTCTCGTGTTCATGTTCTTCATAAAACGTGAAATTAGGTACTTTAACGTCGTTATCGTGCAACAACGGCAGAGTAAGCCACGAAAAGGCCTGATGTACTTGCAGAGTTGTTGTTTTGCTTATCTAAACCTACTGCTTTTTTGCCGTTGGCTCGTTGCCGTGTCTCCTGAGTCTTTGCTAAAGACCCCCCTTAGGCCTAGTAAGCGCAGTTGCCGTCGGCTCCCAGGTTTTCCGATGTGTGTCCAGTTACTTTCAATTTTGTTATTCGTTTAGACTTTCGCATAGCTATTCAAACACATATCTAACATAGTTTAGGTTTTTTGTTATGTAGGTCTGTTTGGTCCATTGCTAACGTGCAAAAAGGGATCGCTGAACGATGACAACACACAGAAAAACATCGACAAAGAATTTGTTCTACTTTTCACCGTCACAGATGAAAGTGGCTCATGGTATCATGACGAAAACAAGAAACGAGCGCAAAACTGGCAACAGATAAATGATAGTATGCTAGAAACAATCTAAAAAATCCTAATTTATTCTATATCATGTTTATTGACCTGCTCCCCTCCTTTTTCTAAGGTTATGTTCAATCATTACCGGATAGCTTTTGCGCTGGCGTGAAAGCCGTACCAGATAGGGCTTCTATTCACATATAAGAACGGTAATTTTCGGTGCGATTCTTGTAACTGAGGGAAGCTGCGCTTCGCTAATCTCGAAAGTGGAGCGTCACATATCGTATAGGTTTTGTGCCACACTTTGCTGCAGTGTGAACGCCGCCGGGTATTCGGACCGTAGAGGAAGTGAATAATAGGAACGAGGACTGGCATGAAATCCACAGAGACGGAAGTAAATATTCAGGAGTGAGGACTGGATTTTACTTGACCCTCTCGGCCAACCGCTCAGGTATGATGTTCGATGTGTCTGAAAGATTTGTTCCAGTTTTGTGCGGTTCACACTGTTCACACTATACCTGATACATTTTCGTGTCGGCACGAAAAGATATCTGGTAATAGTGTGAACAGAGCCTAAGAGTAAAAGCCCTGGAAACGATGTTGGGCTGTGAGGGCGCCGATTCATGTTTGCTTCCAAACGAGGGCGAGACCTAGACCAGGTGCAGCTCGAGTATACGTTGAAAATTTGGTGAGGCCAAATTACCTGTTTTAATTAGCCCCTAATCGACTGTAAATTGATCGCCAGTTTTTACTTCACAGTATTAAAGGTAGAATTCTCTTCACTTGCTCTTCGAATGAAGAACTTTTCTGCCGACTCAAATTAAGTAGAACAAACCTTAGTGCTCTCATTCACTAAGTGCCCTCCTTAGCTCTCGTCTTTTTTCTGTCTCCATTGAATTCACGAAACAAGAAAGAAACTGGGTCGAGTTAACTTTTGCAAAGATTTTTCTGGGTCTGTTGCGAGGGACAGGGGAATCAATAGCTCAAAAGCTGACCGCTGACCGTTGTGTCCTCATCAGCGGTCCCAGAAACAATTGGAAAAATAAGATGCTTCTTACATAAGACGCGAACTGTACCATTTATACGAGCATGTCTTATCTAAGACGAGAACACCTCTTATGCATGGTTCACGTCTTATTTCTGTTCTTGACTCGTTTTCATGTGAATGTTGCCCGTAGCAACGGCAATCCAACGTGGCACGCCAAAAATTAACGCATGCGTACTATGCGTTCGCGTCTTATGTAAGACGCGAAGGTCATTTATACGAAGTTTTTCTCGTCTTAGCTAAGACGCGTCTTATTTTAGACGAAATGTGCCGTTTATACGGAAAGTTCGCGTCCTATGTAAGACGCGTCTTAATTTTCCTCGTATAAATGGTCCTATTTTGGCTCAATTGTCTTCTCGTTTCTAAAGTGGCGAATTGATTTGTGAACATTTCAGAAGATGAAGATTATCTCGAAAGTAATAAAATGCATGGCGTCAACGGATACTTGTATGCCAACCTACCCGGATTACAGATGTGTCTAGGCGAGAAGATATCCTGGCATGTGATTGGCCTTGGAAATGAAGTGGACATGCACACAGCCTACTTTTACGGAAACACCTTCCTGCATGATGGGAGTGTAAAAGACACACTCAGCTTACTGCCAGGTCAGTGTGTAGCCGGAGAGCTCCAGCTCCTAGCAACGACAAGAGCCACTTAAGTGTGAAATTTAAGGGAATGCTTTTGGAGTTGAATTCACGGGAAATTCGCACCCAAGGTTAGAGCAAGAAAACTTTGTCGCTGTGTGTATGTTGTGGCTCAATTTTATCCTTGGCTTAAATTTTATTTTCCTTGGTTTTGGTGTATGGTGATGTATCACAATGAGTTTAAGCTAGTTTAAAACAAAGGGTAATAAAATTTAAACCAGGATAATATAGAACCACGACATATACGTCCGTAGCAGAGCGTGCAAAAGGGGGAAATGGAAAATCGGTTACTTTTCGCGTTTTCGAGCGAGGTGGATGTAGCTAATTACATCGCATCTTCTAGTTCAGTGATACAGAGCGTACCATGATCTCAATCGATAGAGTTTTCCTGTATCCACAATACTTTGTATTTGCAGTTTATAGAACACAGAGCCAGTGTCATGAAAGGATAGGGTCTCGTAAATCTAATCAGGAAGTAATTTTCTTTGGACGAGGAACCTAAACTTGGTAGAGAGACATCAGACGAGTACAAATCTCTTTTTAATTATCTTCAATTTTGAGTAAGAACATTCATGGTTTGGTGTCAAAGCATAATGTAGAGTACAGAGAAAGAAATCCTAATAGCTACAAAAACTTTCACTCTATTTTAGGCGTATTTGCCACTCTAACAATGACGCCTGATAACGCGGGAGAATGGGCGCTAGTCTGTCGGACCAATGATCACTACGCTGCGGGCATGCAGGCTAAGTACACCGTCAGAAGCGATTGTGGGAAAGCTCCTACCAAAAAGCCCTCTGGGAAAGTTCGTCGTTACTATATTGCTGCAGTTGAGGTGGAATGGGACTACGCGCCCTCTGGTCAGGATGTGCTGGAAGGAGTGCCGCTGGAAGAGAGCGAGTCAGTATAACATGCAAAGCTTATTTTGGGTAGTTTTAAATTGCGAGTCGAGTGTAATTGGCTAAAAATCCCGCGCTATTGTTTTTCGACCAATCAGAAGTACGACAGGGCCTGTGCGCGTTTTTTGTGCGTGATGCCAGCTAAGGTCTGGCTCACTAAGTTTCTCGCATTCTAATGACCCTCTTCCATTTACAATTTCCCTATAACTAGTTATAGCACTGCGAGGGTATCCAAACATGTACATGCGGCGGGATACTGCCGCTAGGCGAAGTTTCGTTAGCCTGCAAACGCAGTTGTGTCAGTCCGCGTTCGTTGCGCTAAAGATTTCGTTGCATCATAACTCGACTGTGGGTACTTTTCTATTTCAGTGAGGCAAAAACATTCACAGCAGGAGGAAACGAGCGAATAGGTCGAAAATATAAAAAAGTTGTGTATCGTGAGTTCACAGATGCACAGTTTAAAGAGCAGAAAGAACGGACAGCAGCTGATAAGCACCTGGGTGTACTGGGTCCAATTTTACGCGCTGAAGTTGGAGATACGATGGAGGTAGTGTTCATGAATATGGCGTCAAGTGGAATGAAATTCTCCATGCACCCGCATGGCTTATATTACAGGTATAAAGCAATGTGCTTTTGTCTTATTTCTTGGATGAGGTTTTTGTGATATGCGGAATAATCAAGGTCCAGGTAAGTGTTACCAGCCGAGCCGAAGGCCGAGGCTGATAACACTTACCGAGACCTTGATTATTTAGGATATCACAAAAACCACGCGAATCTAATAATTGTTTTATTATTATTACTACATTGTTTTGAAGAAAATAACGACAAACACACCGTCGCGAGGAACCTGAATTGATATTGTTATTGGAAATCATGCATTGCGCGCACAACCCACAGATTAGTCAATTATCTGCTAGCAGATAACTAACTAATCTGCAGGTTGCGCTGATTTCCAAAATTAGCTTTAGGCTCTTAGCCAATGAGAAAACAGATAGTGAGTACAATGTATAATAAACTGAATAATTATTATTGAATGCAGGACAGTCCTGGTCTTGAAGACACACTCGCTTTTCAGCTTCGCCCCATGTAAGGGAATGCGGAATCCGAAACATTTTTGCTTGTGAAATCTGTAATCTTGGGCTTTGGAATCCGGAATACAGCTCAAGGAATCCGGAATCCCACTAACAATTAGAAATCCAGTACCTGGAATCCGGAATCCACGGTGTGGAATCCAGAATCCAAGATGTTGTTTTCTAATTGCTTTAGTGAAACAGACAAGAATATCTAATTAAATACATTCGCATAATTTGTTTCTTAGATAGTCTTGATACTGGCGTTACGATGACGCCAAAATTACGTCGACTTTTTACGCTCTTATTCTCTCATTGCGATGTTTATTTTCTGTTATCTTTCGTTTCTTTTATTTCCAGCAAAGGCTTTGAGGGATCAGACTATAAGGATGGCACAACTGGCATCAATAAAACTGATAACAGCGTAGATTCTGGTAAAATGTTTAAGTATTCTTGGGAGGTCCCAGAACGCGCTGGGCCCGGAACAGATGGCCCTGCCTGCTCCACATGGGCCTATTACTCAGACGTTAACCCAATAAAAGACACAAATAGTGGTCTTGTGGGTCCACTTATAGTCTGCAAAAAGGTGAGGAACAATTGATTGGCCGATGTCTTACTCTGATTTAGTTAATTAAACAGAAATTTTCCATTATTGTGTTAGATTAATCAGGGACATTTTTGATGGGAACACTTTTGTTTCACGTCTAAAGTAAGATGCATTTCTAAATACCCGATCAAAAGGCGTGACCGGCCCGTGGTAGCTCGCTTAATGCATGCACTGATTTTCAAACAGTCCAGGATATGCTCTAATGATGCTAGTTTAATAAAAGGTTGTAATGTAATTGGAGTGAGTAACAGACAAATAAATCCACCCGAAGGATTTCGCTTATTTTATAGCCTTCTACATCTACATTCTAGATGTAGAAGGCTATAAAATAAGCGAAATGCGGAAGGTGCAACATGTAAAGAAGATTATTATAAGCTTCTGTTTGCTGAAATAATTTTTTCGTATGTCATTTTAATTTATTATTGCATTACAGCAAGCTCAGTAAACCCTTGACTTTTGCGAAATAGAAACCTTAAATTGAATTGACTTATTTGTAAAACACCATAAAGGAGGCGTGTTATGGATGTTAAACGGTTGGGATGTTCCTTAGTCCAGTTCTGGCCCCCCTCTCTCTATCACGCAACGCCGACGTTGCGTGACAGAGAGAAAATAGACTAGATGTTCCTCTCCGGGCTATTACTATTTGTCCTTGGGCGTTGAGCTCCACTCCTCCTTTGCGCTTTCGTTCTGCTATTAGGAAGTTACATGAAAACAAATGAGGGTAAAGGGATTTACCCTCTTGATTTTGTGTATGAGCAAGCAGGCTTGCTGACTTATTGTTGTGAGCTTTCTCACGCTAATCTTTGGGTTTCCTGTGGTTCCTTGGGTGTTCTGTCCCTATTTAGGCTTTACAATCTAGATTTGTGTTTATCAGGATGATTTTTAGCAAGTATGTCCAGCCTTATCATCATATAAAATCTTTGTTCAAAATTGTAACACCCTTTGTGCGTCATTCTAATTGCGCTAAGTTTGACACATTGTAGCGGGCAAGAAGTTGCAAATTATGTTCGTTTGACTGTAAACTGGCCAATAATGACTCAAACCATGAAAAACTCGTAGCTGTAGGACCCTGCCGGGCTCCTGTAGTCCGTTATTCCACAACTGTTAAGTGCTGTATAAGATGCCAAGGGTCTGTATTTTAAGCAGTATGTAAATGACAGTTCATCGTTTCTCAGATGATGTTTTGCTGCCCAGCATCTGCTTAGAGCATTATAGTTACAATTTGTAACTTCTAGTTTTACACTTAATCAGGGTACTCTGAAGGATTCATATACACGAAAGGATGTAGATCGTGAATATGCGCTTATGTTTACTGTTCTGGATGAGAATGAGAGCTGGTACCTTGACAAAAACATCGACACTTACTGCAAAAAACCAGGAAATAAAGAGACTCTTAAGGCAAACGAAGACTTCAAGGAAAGCAACAAAATGCACGGCATCAACGGGTTTGTGTTTGGCAACTTGAAAGGACTGGAAATGTATCAGAAGGAAAAAGTAAACTGGTACCTAGTTGGTATTGGAAACGAGGTTGATATGCACACGGTTCACTTTCATGGGCAGACTTTCCTTCATGTAAGTAACATTGTAGAATTAATTTACCATCTATAACTGATCATAATAGAAATTTTAAAGCAGGGATCAGATTAATAACACTTTTACACGTGTAATTGTTTTAGAGTCTGAAAACAATAGCTATACTTGTAATTTACACCCGTAAAAGTTTTAAATTGACTCCTGTTTCAGTGCTACTCTTGTCCTAAAATGGCTCAAATGTAGCACGATTCTAGCGCGTCCATGGCACGACTTGTTTTCGGACGTTGAATGTAACTCAGTAAAATAGCTGTTGCGGAAATAAAAAGCGGATTAGTGAAAATTTATTAATGTATTCTAATGTATTTATAATTTATGAAATGAGTTCGGCACGGCAGTAGCATGACGTTTAAAACAGGCCTAACCTTGCTTTGATTTACAAGGCTGAAAAAATTCGAATTGACATGGAAATCATGCAAATCAGCATGTAGATTTTGTTTTCATCAGTTTCATGCATGTCAGTTCTTATTGCGGCCCAGACCTGCATTTCGATAATCCATAGGCTGAAATGTCGTCTTTGCGACCCGTGAATTAACCAAGAGCGCAGACTTCTGACTGGGAAGGGAGGAAGAGGGTAGGGGGAGAAGAGAAGAAGAAGAGTTAACGCTTCCCACTTCTTCGTCTCATGTTAACTTGTCATTTGCCTCCTTCTCAGAATCGAGCATACGTTTAACGGTTGTTTTTCTTCGACAGAAACGTGTTGCATATCATCGTGAGGACGTGTATGATCTTTTCCCGGGAGTCTTTGCAACCGTGGAGATGATTCCGGACAGTGTTGGAGTCTGGATGCTGCACTGTCACGTGAATGATCACATGGTTGGCGGAATGGAGACAACCTATACTGTTATGGGTAAGTTAAGTTTGTCTCAGTGAACAAACTGCAGCGTACATGTGTCAGGCCAGAACAGCGATCGAAGGTCAAAACGCCTTTGCTCCAACGCTGTGTTTTGCCTAAATTTCACGTGACAGATAGTTAAAACACGCATGATCAGATTACGAGTGATAGAAGGTACAAACGCGCGTGGTAAATTAGCGTTCTTTACATTCCTTTCATTCTTAGTGGAAGTCCAAACGAACGCTGGCTACGTACATGCGACGCATGCGTTGTAACGTCCTGTAGGTTAGGATTGCGGGCTCCTCTTGTCGCCCGCAATAATGTACATAGATTTTAGTAACACAACTGTATTAATTAGTAATGATTTGGAGAAACATAAACATGAAAAAACTAACGAAATAAAGTTTCGACGTTTCGGCGACATCATGACGCCATTATCAAGGAATGAAAATAAATGCGAGTTCAAATGATTTTTGAATACTTTAACGCCGTGTGAACTCTATTTATTTCCATTCCCTAATAATGGCGTCATAATGTCACCGAAATGTCAGAACTTTATTTCGTTAGTTTGTACATGATAATAAAACTGTCTTAATTCCATAAATTCATAGATGGTTCACTGAAGCCAACCGTCGATTCCATTGGTCCATCCAGTACCGCAGGCTCACCTTTGTCCAGCAGTTATATCATCTGCTTGCTGATAGCCGTTATTGTGACTTTATTTTGAATGCTATTTTGAAGAGGAAAGTAGACAGTAGATTAGCTTTTAATAGAATTCTTTTATATATAGGTAGCTGACCAAATGGCCTTTTTGACCGGACTGTCAACTCACGTGACCGACTGAGCGACCGTATGACTAACTCATCAAAGAATGAATATTTGAAAGACTGAACGACTGACCGACTGCCGTAAAAACCTCCGTCTCCCCTACGGATTGGTTAATAAGGTATAAAAAACCCAGTCCTGCTGATAATCGGATGTAAATGTGGTCGAAAAACCGTACCGACCTTCAACTCCGCGAGGACGACCGTGAGAGACTTTACTCATGATATAACCGCCATCTTTGCAAGCGCGTGAAGGCTGTTGGAATGGATGTAAACAATGTCGTGTGGTCATACGCAGAGCCGGGCTGGACAAACAATCTTTCGTTTAAAGATATTAAATTTTCGGGCTAGCGAGCGTGCTGTCTTTCTGGCATGTAGTTGCCATCTTTGATTTTATAAGCAGTGGAAGACTGGGCCGGAACCCATTTGACTCTTGCAGCACAACTCACGCGAATCATTGTTGTGCTTGTACGATCGCCATAAAACGACTACATGGCAGGCTCACTCAGGCTAAGAATCAGCCAATAAAATCTGCCAATACAAGCAAGGCCGGTCCGAGTTTGTTTATTCCTCCCATGAATGTGGGAAAACTCGACGGTATAAAAGTTTTATGGATACGGTCACTTCGTTCCATGGTCAGGTCGTTCCATTTTATAGTCAGATCGTTCCACAGTTTCAGTTTAAAACTCGATGAGATAAAGCGCGCTTGTTTTGGCTTTTTGGCTTAAAGAACGCGAGGTATGCACGTAAGTAATGCCATTATTTCTGCTCGTGGCTTTAAGACTCGTGAAAAATTCTGGGTATATTGTGGAACGATCTGACTATTAAGTGAAAGATCTGGCTTGGAACGATCTGACCATGGAACGAAAAGCCCGGATAACATTTGTTTTCATAATTAGTTATTTTCACACATAACGACTGTACGACGAACCGCTTCATCAGTGCTGGACAGCGGATATCCCACAGACAGACCATGTGACCATTGGATTTTAAGGTGGTCAGTGTAGAGGAGAGCTTTTTTTTCTAGAATAGTTATCAACGGACTAAAAGACGCATTTTTTATGTTGAATGTGTTGGAATGAGACTGTTCTTAGGATGAAGCTACAGCAACGAAAATAACTTCCTGAACTCTTTAAAGCACGAGTTTTTACTTAGAATACTGAGTTCCTTGATTTTAAGACACAGTACAATTTTATTTTGCTCAGAAAAAACAAAGAAGCAAACAGCGCTTAAAGTCTTTTGTTCTTAATGTATAGAAACTTAATGTATAGATAGTGAAAAAAAAGTAGTAAAAAGGAAAATAAAACTGGAAATTTTAGAGAAACCATTTCGTATGTATTGTGTTTCTGTCGACTGCATGGTCAAAGTCTGGGCCTAAATTTCTCTATTGGCCAATCGCTACTGACGTACTTTTCATTTCGGGTGAATGTGAAGTCTGTGTCTTCTTTCTGTGCGCCATGTTTATGAACCCTGCTTTGGATACTACTTCTGTTGGAAAAATATAAAATACTCGTTGTTCAAAACTAACTTAGTAGCGATCTCCTTTTTTATCGTTTCTTTGGCCTACTTAGTGAAAATGGTTTCAGTGGCAGCTGTTTTAACATTCCGGTTAAAAGTGTTGACGAAACCGTGGCTTTCTCATCAGTTCTTTCGCAAATGTTTATCCACTTCTTACTCACTTAGTACCACAGAACCCAATGGTTCACCTTTCTTTTGTCTTTTCAAAGATCTGCTGAGAAATATCATTTTGCCCGGCCTAACATGTACTTTTCTCTTTTATGGTAATTTTTTCTTCTTACGAATACACAAAGGTTTAAATGAATCATTTATTTTAAAGTCAGTTTCGTGGATTAAAATTATGTAATCACAAGGAGTGACAAGTGCGGCTTTTAACAAAGAGTTCCGAGTTTGTTTTTGGCTGGAGAAAAGGTAACAGACCCTACTTTCGTTATTGCTAGAAATTTATTGTGTCAGCTTTATTCTCTTTATTTGTTTTGAGCAAGAGTGTTGTTTAAGGAAGGGTCATTACATGCCGCTTTTCCACAAAGACTATTTAATCAGTCAGCATTTCAGTTTGTTTTAAGTGAATCTGATGATTGGTCATCAATAATCCGCCACTCTCAAAATCTGCCCAAAGTCTAGGTTCGGCAGTTTAAGATTGTATTTTCCGTTGATATTGTACATTCTAATACAAGCTAATACAAAAATGCAAGCTTGAAATCGGTTTAAGTGGGACACTTATCATGACGTAACGTTCCGCAACACACTGGCTGTTCTTCATGAAGACGTTCAACTTTACTAATGCTAGTGAGAGCTTCAATGGAGCTGCCTCTAATTCTTCTTCAAGTCTACAACTACTACTAGTCTTCGCTGTGTATAAAACGATTTTATCTCCTGTTACGGCGATAGGCAATGGTCTTCTGGTTGTCACCGTGCTAATTGATCCTCTGCGATCCTTTCGTAGCACATCATCCATGTTTCTGTTAACAATGTCCGCTGCGAATTTCTTAACAGGGACGGTTGTGGCGCCAATTTTTGCATTTTTGGAATACAACACTTTTCTTGGACGGAAAGCTTCGCTTCAAATCGCTAATGTTGGTTCCTCGTTTTCTCTGCTTTCATTCAACGTTTCCTTTGGAATGGTATTCGCCTTGGCTTTTGACAATTTTATCGCAGTTTTGCGACCAACAAAGTACAAAGCGTGGATGACGAAGCAACGAGCTAAGACCTGCATCGCTGTGATTTCGCTGACTGCACTCACATATGCAATCCTGCCGCATTTGAATGTACCAATAAATACTGTTCTAAAAATTGATCTACACTTTAATTCGACGGTAAACTCTACGCTTCTTGTTGCCTCTTATATTTTACTATACGCTGCCTTTCGAAACCACACAAAAAGGTCAAAAGATCTTCGACAAGAAAACAAACAGGCCTCGGGGAAACTCTTGGAACTTCAAAACAAGTTCCGCAGGGTTATATTTATTTTTGTTGTCTTGTCCACTGTGCCGGCGATCCTGTCCACCATCTCTTTCCACATCGAGGCTTACTGCGTCCCCTGACAGAAATACCAGACCATCGTCATTGTACAGCGACTTTGTCTTCATTTAATTTTCTTGAAAGGTGCTTTGGATCCCTTTGCGTTCGGCTGGAGGCTTTCACGCAATAGGCAAGCCCTCAAGAAGATCGTCTGCTGTCATCTTCGGACTGTGAGACAGATTGGAAACTCTGATCGTGAAAAGTTTTAAGCCTAGCGGGTCTTTTTTCAAGACTGAATTTTTTTTCCTTCTTATGAGGACTCAAGATGTGTGTTCAGTAAGATGTTATGATCAGTATGGAATTTCTGCACTCGTTTCTCAGACATCATTTCACGGGGAAACCAGTGGCAGCGCCCGGGGAGGGCACTTGGGTATTTTTTGGGTGGGTATGTGCCGCCCGGGACTCCAAATTGGCACCCCGTTCTAAAAAAGAATTCCCCTAAAACTGATACCCCGTTCTAGAAATGGGCCAATTTTTTATACCCCGTTCTAGAATTCGCCCTATAACTGAAACCCCGTTCTAGAAATGGGCCAATTTTTTATACTCCGTTCTAGAAAGTTTGTAAATTGAAATAGTCCTGTTTTTTTTTTTTTAAAGATATTTCTTTATTTGTTTGACTTATACATCAAATAAATGCTTCTTCATAATCAGCAACAATTTTAAGCAGAAGATAAAGCCATGATCCACAATTTTTTATACCCCGTTCTAGAAAACGCCTCTGAAATGGATACCNCCCCCCCCCCCCCCCCGGGTGGCAGCGTCGCTAAATGTCGGCTCTTTTTTCAGGCTGGTCATAAATATTTAAAGGAAACAAAGGGAGATGTAAAGAATCAACCATAAGAGGACACAGAAAAAATCTGAGCCCCAGATGGGAATCGAACCCACGACCCCCCGTGTTCTAGATCGTGGGTTCGAATCCCATCTGGGGCTCAGATTTTTTCTGTGTCCTCTTATGGTTGATTCTTTACATCTCCCTTTATTTCCTTTAAATATTAATATCAGTGGCATAGGTTGGTTGGTCATAAATATTTCTGAAAATGTTATGCATCAGATATGCAGTATGGAGCGAAATGCAACCATTAATTGACGCGTATCAACAGAAGGTCAATGCCGTAATTCGCTGTACACTGTTTAAAAGTATCGCTCTTAACACTTTTGGCTTTTTATAATGAATCTGCATACATCACCATTTGAATTCTTAGGTGCAGATCTGGAAGTCAGATCAGTTAAAATCACATAACATAAGAGTATTTGAGATGAAAAAGTCTTTTTCAAAGCGTTTTGATCTGCCTGCTGTCAGGAGCGGCCTTCTGGTGTCCATCCTTTCATATAAATTCAAAACAAGTTTTCGTTCTCAACAGGAGCAGATTACCCTCCCACTGGTTCGCTCTAAAAAAGTTATTTTCATTATAGTGATTGGCTGTGGACTAGACCTCCTTTTGATCAGAGGTTTAATACGTCAAATCTGCGTGTTATCTCACAACGAGCCCAGACACACAACAGCCAACCAGAAGCCAAATTAGAAGGACTTTGGAATTTATCGTAAGAGAAAAAAAGAGTCATGTCTCTGTTTTGTTTGCTAAAATGACGTTTAAAGGGCAGGAAAAAGCAAGAGAACATCACAAGGACATGACTCTTATTTTTACCGTTTCATCGATCTTACGATAAATTCCGATAGAATCCTTATAATTTGGCTTTGAGTGGACTGTTGTGTGTCTGGCCTCCCTGTGGTTATTTCAGCCAATAATAACGTTATGTGAATCGAATTCGAGAATACAGTTTCGACATACGGTCGTTATAAACCTGCTTTATTACTGCTTGTTTCTGAACCAGTATCCTAAAGTGAGAATGGCTGAGATTGAAGAGATACAACCTGTAAAAAACTGACAGCTGCTTTATATTGAATAAGTATCATATTTTCTGGCCAAATGACCAGCAAAAGTTAAAGTGTAACATATACGTTGTACATACTGTCAACTTATAGAGACACACCATTTGCGAAGAATCTAACTTGGTTGCGGACTGAATTAACATGACGGAGGGTAGCGGGAATTAAGGACTGTATTAAATTATGGCGTTCATAGATGTAAAAACAATCACAGAAGAAACGAAAAGAAGCTGCATCGGATGTCTGATGGACAATCGCATTTGGCCTAAGGAAAACAAAGGAGAGAATGAATGATGGTGTAAATAACTGACTGAAAAATAGAAACATGCTGTAATGAAACGCAGTGGTAATAGCAAAAAACAAAGAAACAATACGGAAAACGAGTAGGAAGAACCAGGTTCTCTGATCAAGAAACATTTTAATAGTACGATAAATTAAAGAGTTAATTCTTTGAATTTTTAATAATTATATTTTTAATTCGATTCAGAATAGAGTTTACCCTTTCAGAACCGTTCACGTACCGAAAGAAATGCCTGCAATGAAAGCTTACTATATCATTTACTAACCTGCTTTAAAGGAGGCTTTGAATCCTCTGTAAGTAGTAGTGGTGTTACTGTCACTCTTGAAATGTACCCAGACCATGTTACCCACGCTCTGTATTGTACCTGGGTTATTAGTGCCACATACAGGTTTGGACAGAATTGCCCCATATTCTCCTCTAAGATCGGCGGGGTCGGTGAGTGGTTCATTTGCGTAGGCTTCTCGTACTTCCAGGTAGTCATTCTCGCAGTTTGTAGTTTGCTCCAGTACGAATGTTGAGTCGAAAGTGATTTGAACCTGGTGTTCTGGAGGAACGATTAAAAACCAACTCCAAGCGAAACCTGCAGGGTAGTTTTTGATGCCAAATTTTGGGGTGCTAAACTCAATGGTCTCATCTTCAGATGCATTCAAGACGCTCTGAGCACCAACTACAAGAGAAGCGATAGATAAAGACTGTAATCCTGAAATTGAGGCCATGTTCACACGAATTAATCCGGATATTTTTGCAGGGCGGTCTTTCGTCCACATGACACCAGTGCCAAAATCCGCTCATCGAAACCGCGTCTTTTCGAAACCGCTCTCCAGAGTGGGCTTTCGCCTTGTCTGCGCGAATTCAGGGCAAAAATATGAAGTTATGGGTATTGTTTAGTGTTTTATAGTTAGGCCCCGTTCACACGAATCCGGGCATTTTTGAAGCCACATTTTTTTAAAATCAGGATTCGTGTGAACAGTGCGTTAAACCCCTCTGGAGAGAGGTTTCAAAAAGATCAGGTTTTGCTAAGCAGGTTCACTGGTTTCATGTAGACGGAAGGCTGATTCATGTAAAGAAGCAAAAAAATTTGTTTAGAACTATCCGGATTTGTGTTGACGGGTTCTTAATTAATAACTTTGGTGATTGCACCATGCTCATCACGAGGAACCTACCATTGGTTGGGTTGCGTGCAGTGATTGAGTCTGTTAGCAATTAACAGAACATTTATAACAATTCATCAATTTACGGGATTCCTCGGGAGGTGGTTTTAATTAAAGATAGTTGAATGCCATCGAATTCAAGCCATCACACCACAAAACGGTCAGCAGGAAGTACGGCTGGACGGGCGAACACCAGGAATCTGAGTCGGGCGTGACATGCACACCAATCGCGAGGTAAATCTGCGAGGGTAAATTTAGCAGGGAGTTCAACTACCGAAAACAACTTTGTTATCTTGTTCTTGTTGGTAGTTCTATAGATATGTAACTTCGTCTGTTGCACATTTCCTTCTCAGGTCTAGTCAGTGTCAAGTCCTGTTTTTAGGGTGACTACTTTCGCCTTACGCGCTATCGTTCCTGCTTAAAATCTCTTTCTCGTCCTAGTCCCCTAGAATTTACTTGGCGACTCGGTAACTTGTCTAACCGTACCGCTTCAATCTGACGCCTGGTTTTAGCGGTTAGCCAGACGTTAGATTTTATGAAATTCTTCCAGAAATTCTCCGTTTTGAGTCTCAAGAAATCACGAATCAGTGACATGTTTTCTATCAATTTTTGAAAAACATTTTGGTTTCCAGCTTATTCAGTTGGTTAAGTTAGTGGAGCAATTGTCAGTGGTAATTTAGTTATTACTTACACGTCGAATTAGACTTGACGATGTAGGAGATGTTGATTCCTTTGTAGTGAACAGTATCATCAGTTACCACGCGTATAAAGATATTATCTGAATAATCTACGCTCCGAGTGGGTCCTTTCCCTCGTAACTTGTTGCTATGTTCTAAACTGGAACGACTGAATCTTCCACACTGATTTTGCTGACTAATAAGGTCGTCGTAGCTTTCTCCAACTATTGCAAAATCACATTCACAATTTCTGCACTCTTCAAATTCAAAGCTAAAATTGAAAAGTAAGATAACATGAAACTAGCCCGACTATGGCTACTTCAGGGACAGCGGAACATAGGGGCAGGCTTGGCTATAGCCCCACTGTTAATTTCGCTTGTTTACTCCTCCACTTCCTGATCAAGCCACCGCAGCTACGAATGAAAGATTATTTACAATGGCGCGCAGAGTCAAAACCTAACTGCGAGCAAAGATGACCCAGCAGAGATTCAACAATGTTGTAGTCTTAAATAGTCTAAATAGGCACAAGACAAGAACTGACGCTGTGTGGTGTTATTTGAGAACTGGCCTTGATATTTATTATGTTTTAAATGTACGTTTTTGTGCAGAAAACTAACAGAATGGTGATGAGAATTGGACAAAATTTTCTTAGGATTGGTAGAAATAAACGCGTTTCCAGTGATTTCAAAAGCTCTATAAATTTCATGTCCCCAGACACCCGCTAGATAACTCGTGCCCTTGGCTCTCGTTGAACTCGCGGTACGCGTAAGCTAGCCCACCAATCCAGAATATGCTTAGCGGTCCCTGTACTTGTATAAAGCACTTGATTAAATACGGGAATCTTATGTGTATGATGGGAGGGAAATTTGTGGTAGGCTGATAAATTTCTGTCTTCAAATACAACTCCATTCTCGTCCCCAGAGCCTACTGGGGGCCTGAGCACGAGGACCAGGAGGCTCTAGGGACACAAGATTTGAAAGTCCTAGATTTTAGGACTTCCGGTCATTTCCGAATCAAAAGTAAGTTAAAGGATTCTCTTTTAAAAGCTTTGAATAACCTACATTTACAGTCATTGACACTTGGGCAAGAGCAAGTGCCCGCTACTAGAAACGTTGTAAAAAATCAGAAATGACCGGAAGTCCTGAAATCTAGGACTTCAAATCCTGTGTCCGTGGAGTTCCTTTCCCCAGAGCCTCCTGGTTCTCATACTTAGGCCTCCAGGAGGTTCTGTGGACGAGAATGATATAACTCGTCAATTGGCAGGGGGAATTGTAACTCCCTGGGAAATTCGTGACAACCTTCAGCTTTTGATTTGACCATCTGATGATACACACCTGTAACTTAAAACGCAACATCGTGGCACACATCTCTTGACCGTCTATTTTAATAAATATGGTATTGTTATTGCTATTGGAATTCAGAGGCTTTTTTCTGAAGGGCATATAAAAAGAGGATTACTTTCGGATTTTTATCATGTTTCTATGATTCGCAGCTAGAATCGAAAGTTAAGTTTATCTTACGTGTGATATGTCATTCCGTAGCCGAAGTAAGGCTTAGGAACCTCAATCCTCCAACATTTTGTCTCGTTTGCTCCATAATTACCAGACTCTGGATACACGAAATGCCCACTTGTGGTGCCTGTTATGTTTGTAATGCCATTAGGGCAAGCTATAGCGAAACAAAAAAAAAGAGATACTTATTTTCTATGACAACCAGGCGCGTACTGCCTGTGAAATAATAGCTACTTTTAAGCGTTAACAGAACGACGAAAGTTTGGCCGCGAGTTCCCAGCAATTGTACCCATGGGCTAATAGCTGAAGAAAGTACTTCATGTAAGACTTCATATAATGTGCTAACCAATTCCCATTGGGGTTGGGTCAATTTGTTCAGCGGGGGGAGGGGGGGGGGAGAAGGGGCGTTGAAATTCGAGGGGGTGGGGGTAGTAAAAAAAAGAGAGAGTCTCCCGATTTTAGATCTCCAGCGCTTGGCATCTATGATTATGTCAGTATTCAGTGTTTACGACAACGTTCCCTGCGAAAGCGGGTTCAACTTTTTCTTTCCCTTGTGGAATTTTTCGCTAAGTGACCGCAAACATGAATTATAAGTGATCAAACCTCAGCCTAGTCCCTAGATTTTCTCTCTTGATCCGTTGTCCTCGCGAAGTCTTGGAGAGAGCGGGCGGGAGAACGGCGTTCTCGGCGAGTCTTTCTCGATGATGTCACAGCTCATGGTAGAGTCTAGGAATGACCGAGCCGAAAACACCTGGGGACTAGGCTGATCAAACCTCAAAGCGAACCCAACCCAAGCTATTTCCCCGTAGGGAGCCTTGGAGAAGACGTCTAGTGCGACCGCGCCTGATACAGTATAAACATCTAGACCGGCCCGTCCTCTCGGGGTGAAAAAACCCAGGTAGGCGATTGCGATTGTTCCGGCGATCCCTAGGTAGCCAGTCAGTCTCAAATCATGTCAAAACCGGTGACATGATACAATTTCCTTCTGCTTGTCAGTTTGGTTAGGAAAAAGTCTCTCTTTGTTTTCAGGAAACAGTAACGGGCTTTCGTTTGAGCAAAGTCGAAGAAAACGGTGCATTTTGCCTTCAAACTGTTACATTGTCAATTTCACCATTTTCAGCTGTCTCTGTTATCCTCTATTCACTTCTTTTGCGTGTTGTTTTATTTGCTTTCTGTTTTTTCTTCGTTTTAGTCACGCATGTGTGTTTGTTGGCAAACAGGAGTTCTTGCCATCTTAACGAAAGACAAGAACTCTCTTACAATTGTAAGCCTCGCTTGCTTGGAGATTAGATAAGAAATTAAGACTCTCAAAAGCGTTGACTCCATCTTGCTTGGAGATAAGGTAAGACATGACGAGTCAATTGATTCTTAAAGAGCCTGTGTCCGGCGCGGGCGTGGAAGTCATAGGGGCCATGTGGGGAAGGAGAAAAAAAAGTTACCTAGCCAGGTTACATAGATCGATTTCATTTGGTACATACAATAGAAACGCCACACCGTGGACAACCTTCTTCTTCTTCTCCTTTTGTTAACCGTCGACAACAGAAGAATACTAAGTTACTAAACACTTATACGAAAAAAATGCAATAGTTTTAAATCTAAAGTAAAAATTTCCAATGATGTCTAGGTAATTATACTTCCACAATCAAAGGCAATACGAGGCAAAGAGGCGAGACCTTGCGAATTTGTGACACCAAGGAAACACCAAGGAAGACGTTAGTATAGAAAACAAAAACACATTCAATTAAATACATACAACAAAGTGAATCTGCCATTAAACATCGATTCCTTTATTCACGGGAATTTAATTCACTTGCTTTCGAACTATTCGCTTTTGCAGCAACGTGGCTTCCTACACGAAACAGGATTTTCCCAGTTGCTATAAGTTTTTTGCATGCCCTTTTTATCGACAGTTGAGTAATCCTCAGAGCATTTACTCTGAATAAAACCGTTTTCGGCGAAACGTGATCAACATGGCGCGTCATTTAAATCATGGTCGAAAATAAACCGCATACTCATCAAAAGACTTATTTGCACACAATGAAAGTTTACATAGCCTCACCATCAAAGTTTTGCTCATTTAAATTTTTTCTCTTTTTCGACCACTGAAGTATTCACTTATGTTCCAAAGCAATCAACGCTTTTAAGCGATAGAATTCGTTGACCGACCCGTTCCGAAAAACAAATCTAAAATTCCCTTAGTAATTAAGCTTTTCCATGCACGGCTTTCGTCACGCCGAGTTAGTTATCCCTAGTTTCAACTGTCTCCACTAGGAACGCCTCTAAGGGACCGTGGCGACCATTTGGCACGGACACACGGAAAAAAAAGCGGTTGCATTTTTAGAGTCTTGTTCTGCTAAAGCTAGCTCGACTACTTATAATAAGAATAAAACAAAAAAGACTGTAAACAGTCTGGTGGACTGTGACAAAACTTACTGGAGTCAGCGGTCCCTTTTTCAAAGGTAAGCGCCAAAACTGTGTAAAAGAAAAAAAATCAATCATTGAGTCAAAACCTAACTGCGAGCAAAGATGACCCAGCAGAGATTCAACAATGTTGTAGTCTTAAATAGTCTAAATAGGCACAAGACAAGAACTGACGCTGTGTGGTGTTATTTGAGAACTGGCCTTGATATTTATTATGTTTTAAATGTACGTTTTTGTGCAGAAAACTAACAGAATGGTGATGAGAATTGGACAAAATTTTCTTAGGATTGGTAGAAATAAACGCGTTTCCAGTGATTTCAAAAGCTCTATAAATTTCATGTCCCCAGACACCCGCTAGATAACTCGTGCCCTTGGCTCTCGTTGAACTCGCGGTACGCGTAAGCTAGCCCACCAATCCAGAATATGCTTAGCGGTCCCTGTACTTGTATAAAGCACTTGATTAAATACGGGAATCTTATGTGTATGATGGGAGGGAAATTTGTGGTAGGCTGATAAATTTCTGTCTTCAAATACAACTCCATTCTCGTCCCCAGAGCCTACTGGGGGCCTGAGCACGAGGACCAGGAGGCTCTAGGGACACAAGATTTGAAAGTCCTAGATTTTAGGACTTCCGGTCATTTCCGAATCAAAAGTAAGTTAAAGGATTCTCTTTTAAAAGCTTTGAATAACCTACATTTACAGTCATTGACACTTGGGCAAGAGCAAGTGCCCGCTACTAGAAACGTTGTAAAAAATCAGAAATGACCGGAAGTCCTGAAATCTAGGACTTCAAATCCTGTGTCCGTGGAGTTCCTTTCCCCAGAGCCTCCTGGTTCTCATACTTAGGCCTCCAGGAGGTTCTGTGGACGAGAATGATATAACTCGTCAATTGGCAGGGGGAATTGTAACTCCCTGGGAAATTCGTGACAACCTTCAGCTTTTGATTTGACCATCTGATGATACACACCTGTAACTTAAAACGCAACATCGTGGCACACATCTCTTGACCGTCTATTTTAATAAATATGGTATTGTTATTGCTATTGGAATTCAGAGGCTTTTTTCTGAAGGGCATATAAAAAGAGGATTACTTTCGGATTTTTATCATGTTTCTATGATTCGCAGCTAGAATCGAAAGTTAAGTTTATCTTACGTGTGATATGTCATTCCGTAGCCGAAGTAAGGCTTAGGAACCTCAATCCTCCAACATTTTGTCTCGTTTGCTCCATAATTACCAGACTCTGGATACACGAAATGCCCACTTGTGGTGCCTGTTATGTTTGTAATGCCATTAGGGCAAGCTATAGCGAAACAAAAAAAAAGAGATACTTATTTTCTATGACAACCAGGCGCGTACTGCCTGTGAAATAATAGCTACTTTTAAGCGTTAACAGAACGACGAAAGTTTGGCCGCGAGTTCCCAGCAATTGTACCCATGGGCTAATAGCTGAAGAAAGTACTTCATGTAAGACTTCATATAATGTGCTAACCAATTCCCATTGGGGTTGGGTCAATTTGTTCAGCGGGGGGAGGGGGGGGGGAGAAGGGGCGTTGAAATTCGAGGGGGGGGGGGTAGTAAAAAAAAGAGAGAGTCTCCCGATTTTAGATCTCCAGCGCTTGGCATCTATGATTATGTCAGTATTCAGTGTTTACGACAACGTTCCCTGCGAAAGCGGGTTCAACTTTTTCTTTCCCTTGTGGAATTTTTCGCTAAGTGACCGCAAACATGAATTATAAGTGATCAAACCTCAGCCTAGTCCCTAGATTTTCTCTCTTGATCCGTTGTCCTCGCGAAGTCTTGGAGAGAGCGGGCGGGAGAACGGCGTTCTCGGCGAGTCTTTCTCGATGATGTCACAGCTCATGGTAGAGTCTAGGAATGACCGAGCCGAAAACACCTGGGGACTAGGCTGATCAAACCTCAAAGCGAACCCAACCCAAGCTATTTCCCCGTAGGGAGCCTTGGAGAAGACGTCTAGTGCGACCGCGCCTGATACAGTATAAACATCTAGACCGGCCCGTCCTCTCGGGGTGAAAAAACCCAGGTAGGCGATTGCGATTGTTCCGGCGATCCCTAGGTAGCCAGTCAGTCTCAAATCATGTCAAAACCGGTGACATGATACAATTTCCTTCTGCTTGTCAGTTTGGTTAGGAAAAAGTCTCTCTTTGTTTTCAGGAAACAGTAACGGGCTTTCGTTTGAGCAAAGTCGAAGAAAACGGTGCATTTTGCCTTCAAACTGTTACATTGTCAATTTCACCATTTTCAGCTGTCTCTGTTATCCTCTATTCACTTCTTTTGCGTGTTGTTTTATTTGCTTTCTGTTTTTTCTTCGTTTTAGTCACGCATGTGTGTTTGTTGGCAAACAGGAGTTCTTGCCATCTTAACGAAAGACAAGAACTCTCTTACAATTGTAAGCCTCGCTTGCTTGGAGATTAGATAAGAAATTAAGACTCTCAAAAGCGTTGACTCCATCTTGCTTGGAGATAAGGTAAGACATGACGAGTCAATTGATTCTTAAAGAGCCTGTGTCCGGCGCGGGCGTGGAAGTCATAGGGGCCATGTGGGGAAGGAGAAAAAAAAGTTACCTAGCCAGGTTACATAGATCGATTTCATTTGGTACATACAATAGAAACGCCACACCGTGGACAACCTTCTTCTTCTTCTCCTTTTGTTAACCGTCGACAACAGAAGAATACTAAGTTACTAAACACTTATACGAAAAAAATGCAATAGTTTTAAATCTAAAGTAAAAATTTCCAATGATGTCTAGGTAATTATACTTCCACAATCAAAGGCAATACGAGGCAAAGAGGCGAGACCTTGCGAATTTGTGACACCAAGGAAACACCAAGGAAGACGTTAGTATAGAAAACAAAAACACATTCAATTAAATACATACAACAAAGTGAATCTGCCATTAAACATCGATTCCTTTATTCACGGGAATTTAATTCACTTGCTTTCGAACTATTCGCTTTTGCAGCAACGTGGCTTCCTACACGAAACAGGATTTTCCCAGTTGCTATAAGTTTTTTGCATGCCCTTTTTATCGACAGTTGAGTAATCCTCAGAGCATTTACTCTGAATAAAACCGTTTTCGGCGAAACGTGATCAACATGGCGCGTCATTTAAATCATGGTCGAAAATAAACCGCATACTCATCAAAAGACTTATTTGCACACAATGAAAGTTTACATAGCCTCACCATCAAAGTTTTGCTCATTTAAATTTTTTCTCTTTTTCGACCACTGAAGTATTCACTTATGTTCCAAAGCAATCAACGCTTTTAAGCGATAGAATTCGTTGACCGACCCGTTCCGAAAAACAAATCTAAAATTCCCTTAGTAATTAAGCTTTTCCATGCACGGCTTTCGTCACGCCGAGTTAGTTATCCCTAGTTTCAACTGTCTCCACTAGGAACGCCTCTAAGGGACCGTGGCGACCATTTGGCACGGACACACGGAAAAAAAAGCGGTTGCATTTTTAGAGTCTTGTTCTGCTAAAGCTAGCTCGACTACTTATAATAAGAATAAAACAAAAAAGACTGTAAACAGTCTGGTGGACTGTGACAAAACTTACTGGAGTCAGCGGTCCCTTTTTCAAAGGTAAGCGCCAAAACTGTGTAAAAGAAAAAAAATCAATCATACTGTTAGAAGCATTCAAAATGAACTGATCATCGTAAACTAAAATTAGAACCTACTGCAATTATCAGCTTATCAAAAACAGTAATAGTAAATTGAATGTTAATGTTCAGCGCTTCTGGCAAGGCCTTTTTATTCTGTACTGAACATTTTGTTGCAAACTAAGTGCTAAAGAATGTGCTAAGTTCCAATTTCAGAGAATTGTTAAGCGAAACACATACTATTCTGTCTGGTCGGACTAAATACAGTTTTAAGTGCAGAGAAGATCATCACAGTTTAAAAATTCAACCTTGCCATTTACGTTTTTTATCCCGCAGTTCAAATATATAAAATTCATATACTCATTATTTTATCTTCATCTACGTACCAATTTTATGACCAGCACCCATGCAGTTAACTTACCGCTAGCTAGTTAAACTGATCGAATGCTGCATCGCGGTATCGCAGAGGTCGGGGTTGCAATCTCTCTCTCCTTCTACACAACCTGATCAGCTCTCCGACTAGATTACAAAAATATCTATAACTTTACTTGACCTAGTCATAAAGAATAACAACAGGCTTCTGAATTCTGGAGTTGTTCATGTTCAACTAAGCGAACATTCACTTGCCGTGGTGTATGCGTTTTTAAGAAAAACGGCACCTAAAATGAGGTCAAAAAACTCTGTAGCCTGAAACCTTTTGGTCGTCATATTTATTTTCGGCTGATTTGCATACTGTTCCTTTTAATGTTCAGATATCTTTGACGACGTAGATTAGCTGTTTGTGTTTGAGACACTATTCATAACGGTGCTTGATGATCACGCCGCTAAAGCTGCAATTTCGAATCCATGTGCGTGGCAATCAGGTCCCTTACATGACAGAAGAATGGCGCAAAGCAATATGTTATAGAAATAGTATAGGCTTTGGAAAAAGTTTACACGATACAGAACTGACTGCAATTATCAGTTATACAAGAGTCATACAAGTCAGAAAGCCCATCAATGGAGTTTCGGGAGGCATGCCGGCCTTTCTTGCATTAAAAAAACTCCAAACAAGCATTATAATATCGCTCTCAAAGAGAAAAAAAGTCGTTAACTGCCTTTGTATAACTTTTAATGAAAAAGTTTCGTCTTACCCGGGCAGCTACTACATAAAACTGAAGGAACAACTCTGTACAACTTAAGGGTACAAAATATGTTAATATGTTTGAACTATGACAGTTTTTCTAAATATCTTAACGACATGCTTGCTTTGCGTCCGTCTAGAAGAACAAATATTTTATCACTATGTAAACCTGTTACCATTAGTTTTGGCCTCAACTCTTTTTGTTACTTTGCAACTAAGACCTGGAACTCCTTACCCAATAATGTAAAATCCAAGCCTACTTTAACTAGTTTTAGAAAACTTTTGAATGTAATAATCTCCTTTGAACCATAATGTATAATATTTAACATTTTTCACGTAGCGTAATCAAATGTAAATACTAGGTTTTTCAATGTACATATATGTATATCATACACTCGTTTTCAAAAAGGTTGACGTATAGGAAATATATATATCTTTTGTTTTTTCTTTTGTTTCGTGGAATAAAACAAAAGAAATATATATTTCTGAAATGTCAACCTTTATGAAAACGAGTGTATATATTTAATGTAAATATATATTTTTTCATGTAAATAGATTTTCCCTTATTTTTTATTTCTATACTATTTATGTTTCTCGAAGATATTAGCCTTTCAGCCTCACTAAAATTCGAGATAAAATAAAGCTCATGACGTATGTATGTATACTGCGTAGGTCAGTTGCATATTTTTAAAACTATAATGGTCTTCTTTGCACTTAATTATTCATTCCGCAGTTCTGAATATATGCAATTCATCAACATTTTCAGTTTGCTCTGATTTGAGAGAAATGTAAAGCGAAATATATACTGCTGTCTGGCTGCTAGAGTGATGCAGATTTAAAACCAGTGTGACTGGAAGGTGCATTGTTCTGTGCTGTAATTATAATCTTATGTGAGCCGAAAAGAAAGTTTGTTTCGATAGATTCATTCTCTCCGTAGTCATTAATTCATGACTCTGAACCCAAAATGACAAAAAATTGATAATCAAAGGCCCGAAACAGAAAAAAAAACAAAACAAAACAAAAAAAACAAAACAAAAAAAAACGTTGTTTTGGATTGAACTTGATTTAGCCTATGCCCCTGAATGAGTCGAGGCAATTGAAACACCAACCACTATCTAAGGATCTTAAATGATTCATTTAAAAGCCGCGGATGGCGCGATGAATTAACTTTATCACTTACCAGTGAAAGCAAGCAGAATTATAGTGAAGTGGTTTAGTGCCATCTGAGGTCTAAGAGTCCTCTGAGCTAGCTATCACAGATCACAATTACTGTTCTTTCTTGCTACTGACGGCAAAAATGAAATTGTCGAAGGCTATAAAAAGACTTTAATTGTTGTTGAAACATTTATAGGACGCCTTGACCAATGGATGCTAGGAAAGTTTCATCCTTGTCATAAAAACAATTACAATTTTTTATTACAGTCTTCTACTGCTTATCACTTGAATTAGCTAACATTAGGGCCATTTATACGAGGAAAAACAAGACGCGTCTTACATAAGACGCGTCTTAAATAAGACGCGAACTTTCCGTATAAACGGCACATTTCGTCTAAAATAAGACGCGGCTTAGCTAAGACGCGTNCCTATGCCCCTGAATGAGTCGAGGCAATTGAAACACCAACCACTATCTAAGGATCTTAAATGATTCATTTAAAAGCCGCGGATGGCGCGATGAATTAACTTTATCACTTACCAGTGAAAGCAAGCAGAATTATAGTGAAGTGGTTTAGTGCCATCTGAGGTCTAAGAGTCCTCTGAGCTAGCTATCACAGATCACAATTACTGTTCTTTCTTGCTACTGACGGCAAAAATGAAATTGTCGAAGGCTATAAAAAGACTTTAATTGTTGTTGAAACATTTATAGGACGCCTTGACCAATGGATGCTAGGAAAGTTTCATCCTTGTCATAAAAACAATTACAATTTTTTATTACAGTCTTCTACTGCTTATCACTTGAATTAGCTAACATTAGGGCCATTTATACGAGGAAAAACAAGACGCGTCTTACATAAGACGCGTCTTAAATAAGACGCGAACTTTCCGTATAAACGGCACATTTCGTCTAAAATAAGACGCGGCTTAGCTAAGACGCGTCTTATTAGATAAGACATGCTCGTATAAATGGTACAGTTCGCGTCTTATTTAAGACGCGTCTTTTTTTTCCTCGTATAAATGGCCCTATTATATTGCACGTGATCATGGATGTTAGACTACTGCGTTTGTCATTTAAAGAAGTTGTTAAATTAGATCAGTTTGCCCCACTTGGAGCTTTGGTGTGCGGTGTGAGTTGTTTTAAAGCTATGTAAAAATCACCATCCTCGTTGGAAAACGTCAGTTGCCAGGAGCCCTTTAAACCTGCCAAGTACGCTGAAATAGCTGGAAGTCGAGTTATCTGCATTTCGATCAAATCATCGGGGCCTTTTTTAAGCATCATAAACTACTGTCTTCAAACGATATGTGTATGACCAAAACAACTGTGAAAGATAAATTGCAGTTATGGATCGCGTCTCCTTGAACGACATTTCAGCGCATCGTTCGATTTGACCAGTAATAATAATATTGGTAAAAAAATTTCAAGTTGGTACCACCTAGCAAGAACTATCCCTTTACAATAGGCTACTTTTTTTACTTTTCATGTTGTTACTATGTCACTTTTAATCCAAGATTTACGTATACTGAAATCAAAGTCCACAGCTGTAACAGGGCCATCTGCCATGTTACGTAATGAAGGTTACCGCTTCAAAACTAAAAGAAATGGAAAGGAAAAAGAGGGGGCTTCAAACTCGTAAATGATGCATAGGTTATAGAAGAACTTTTCACTTTCCCTGAATGGAAATTAACCGAGGCGTCTTTGTAAGGTTCCAACGCTTTTAACGTAAAAACGCTGAAGGATGCAAGCAAAGGTTAGTTGTCATAGAAACGTTCCGTTCTATAAGAACTAATAATAATAATAATAATAATAATAATAATGATAATACTGATAATGATAATAACTGGATTGTAATAAAACGAAGAGAATTACAACATTCTTCTGTAACAGGCCCAGTGGAATTTAGATCTTTAACGGCTTTTTGGAGGAAGCGTCACCAAGTCGGCTAATCTTATAGGTTTTTGTCTCGGTTGAGTACCTCCCTTTAGACGTAAAAAACTATAAGTAATCTAAATTCTCATGACAAGTAGCCACCGCCTTAGTCCAGGAAGGAAGGGTAGAAGTGCAATAGAGCATTTCAACACCCAAGTTGTTTCTAGCTTTCTCTTATTTTGCTGCCGGGGAAACTCAGTTCCCAAACTGATACTCATTTCGTTGACAGATACAACATCAAAACAGTTTTGAAATCCTTTTGGATGAGTTACTCCCATCCTCGTCCGCCGTTGCGGTCCCCTACGCTCTTCTCTTCATGTATGTTGGAAATCAGCCCTTATGGCAATCATGCCGCGGTTTCTGTTTTGTCTTCTCCCTATTTCTGCTTGCGGCATCTTGATACACATCTATCACTCTCTAAAACTTCAGCTCCCGCAGTAGTTTGTGTCCTTCTCTATTCTGAGCTATATTTTTTGGCATAGTGTTATTTATTTGCTTTCGTCAACTGAACGAAAAGGATTAAGCCTGGTTATGTAAAACTCACACTTAATAATGGAAACAACATTTCCGCGACAAAATGGTCAAGAATGTTTGTTACTTTATCCATAAACCATCTCGTCTCGCTGTCTCAGTCGCGTAGCTTCTCACTGAATCTATAGCCCTCAAAATATTTTAATACAACTTTGAGTATGTTTGATACGGGGTGGGGAGAAGGGGGTACCCTCTCCCCTAAAGTGGCCTGTACGGGGTGTTTCCGTCCAAAACGGGAATCTCTGTCAAATTCAGGTGTTTGAAAAGGAAGGGTTCCCTTTCTTTCTTCATTATATGAAAGGTTAGGGAATTTGATCTTTAGGAAACTTTAATAAAAGGTCCTTTAAGAGGCCCCTTAATATCGATTATATATTTTGAATATTAGACGCAGTTTATGGCTGAAGCATTGAGGTTTATTGTTAAGCCCTGCATAAGAATGACAAGCTAGTAGGTATATGTCAGTGATATGGCCTACATAAACTGAGTGCAGTTCACGGAGCAACTTTTATTATCGAGTAATCACAAGAAACTCCTTGAGACAGGGCTTTTCTGAACTGATACAGTTGTTTATGGTGGATTCTGGGTCTTATTAAAATCAGCTATATTACTCTGACACGGTTAATTGACAGTCAGTAGAGCGGTGATGTGCAGGGCGGAAGGTCTAGTGTAGCCGAACCAACACTCAGGGTCTTGAAATGGCAGAGAAAGAACAGTTCCTTTGTCCCGCAAACGGCTCGACCTTCGTCGTGTAGCTTAACTGACTTTAGGTAAATATGGCTGCCCATATCCAGCAATGTCCTTTACATAAGACACTCGATGATTAACCATTTTTTTTACAAACTTATAATTAATTGTAGATTATATTTAGCTCACACGTGCAGTATTAGTTATCCTAAAAATTACGGAATAGCTCTGATTACATGCAAAAACACTTTACTCAGGCTCCGTTCATATGGAGAAAACTTGTCGCCTACCCGAGCTACCCTGGTAGAGCCATGGCCATGAAAATTTCCTACAGTTCCTTACAAAACTTGAAGAACTGTTTACGTGAGAAAAAAAAAACGTTGGCTTGGCCGAAATGTTGGCTCACCTAACCGGGTGACCCTTTTCTGATGGTAAGGTCACCCTCCTAGCCGAGCCAGCTCGGTGAAAGCGAGATCATCAGAGCATGCGCGAGCGCTGTTGTAAGCTCTTGGCTCGGGCAAATGGGTCAACTATAAATGCTCGCTTAAGTTGACTCGGCTGGGAGGGGAGGGTGACCCTTTATCAAGGGGCAACTTTTCTCCTTAACGTGGCCTAACACAACTGAATAGATAAGTATGATCACATCATTATACGTTCCTGGGAAACTGCCCACTTACCCCTCCCCTAAGCGAACATTAACACTTACTTCTCAGTTAGGCAGCAAGGGAATGAGCAACCTGTCTGTATTTTCTTATTGCCTGACTGATTGAACCACTTTGGTCTAAAAGATGGGATTATGCAATTCCATGTAATGGTTTATACAAATTACGTCACTTGACCTTTAACAAGAAAAGTTAGCACTGCGCTTATCTTTACTGGAGGCTCTCCCGATCGTAAAATGATAAAACTTCTGACATTTGATAATTTGTTTCTGCCACTTCGACATTTTCGCGAAAACTTGTAATACAATGACGGCGGCTATCGCGTTTTCCCGCCAAAATGACGCTGGCTCACGTGCGAGCACTACATATTAGAGAGATTAAGATTCACATTTACTTCAAACGACAAACGCGAATTTGTACCACGTGACCAAGTTTCTTCTTTACTTCTCGTTTACAGTTCATCACTTCTACACCTAAATTAGTAGCTTCACGCAATTTTTTATCCATGAGAATCTGTTTTGAGCTGTTTTTATCTTCTCATTTTCTATTTTGAGAAATTCTCAACTTAGCGTTTATAAGGCAAACGTCAAACGTGAATTTGTATACTACGTGAACAAGTTTTCCATCTACTTGGGGTTTACTGTTCATTATAACAACACGAAAATCATTCCAATTCTATCCATAAGAATTGTTAATAAGTTGTTTTTATCTGCTCATTACTCATTTGCTAAAATATATTTTTCTTGGAACGAGATTTAACAAGGTACGTGAACAAGAACCGCAGTCAGATAAGCACTGCGATAGTTTTTAACGTTTTAGATAAATTCACTCAAAAGTATTTAAGTTCCTACGTATAAAGTGAAAGCGTTATTTCGTGTGAATTTATAATGACCAAAGAGTCTGGCTGGATCTGTTCAGAACAGACTGTCCTTTGACGTAGCCATTAGTAGAGCCGAGAAGAACAAAAGGGCCATCGGATGCAAGATGGAAAGTCGTCCCTGGCCTACAAAAATTGAACAGACGAAAAATTCATATTGGGTTAAGACAAGAAAGAATGATTAACATAATGAAAAAATTAAAAGAAATTAAAATTAAAGAATATAATATTATCCGTGAAAATAATCTCTTTCATATCAGACATGAATAGTACAATGAACTTTCTCTAAACGGACACAGTCGCGAGCTAAAATCACCTAGAATTTAGATTTACTTCGCTCTTCAAGGCGTGCATTTCTCTAAGGGGCCCAAAAGATACCGCATGGGGTGCTGGTCCTAAAAGTGTCCATTTTAGAGAGACTTAGCTTGACTGTGAAAGAAATCGTAATCCAAAGACTTAAGAAGGCAAGTTTAACGAGGCAACCCATACGCAAAGGATCCATATTTTTTTGCCTACATGACGCACCGTTTAATAACATAGTATTTAGAAGTTACAATACAATACATTTATTTTTTTCCAAGCTTGCGAGCGGGCGGAATCCTCCAAATCCTGCAATCTGATTGATTCCGAGAGCAGAACATTTATCCGCCCTGGTATTTTACGATCTTTCCCGCTATCCCGGGCGGATTCTTTGGCCGCTTCATTCACAACTTTGTTTGTTGTTTGTGAATGAGCAAAAACCGTCATTTTCAAACCATTTACTCTTAAAACTTGCGCTATTATTAGCATTAGCTAGGGAAAAGTTAATTTTATTATTCGGAAAAAAATCTGAAGGGAGAATCAAGCAAGTCAGCCAGGAAAATCGCTAAAGTAAAGTAAAACAGGTGGCTTGTGACCGATGTCGTTTCACTAGCTTTATAACCGCGCTGTAAGTACTGCAATCTTGCCACTTTTATGCACCGTTTAAAGGACATTTTTGCTCGGTTTGTAGTTTTGTTTTCCATTTTTGCTGTATGAATCTAGATTCTGCCGTTTTTCATTGAATTTTGGCTAGCTAGTTTCTACTTATCAGAAAAGGTTGTAACACGAATCACTTTTCCAGCAGTCGGTCTGGTTATCGCCTATTTCATTTCTTTGTTCATAACTTGCCGAGTACTCACATCGCCTTCTTTTATTCGAATTCAATTCAAAACTTTAAAATTGGTATGTGTAATTAGCTCTTTTTACAAAGCCATTGTGCAGTTTTCATCCCACTCCATTGAACTAAGACCCAACTAATAAATCTGAAGCAATTTTTGAATTATTCAGCCAACGAAAACACTTGCTGTATTTTTTTCCTGGCGCTTTTGATATCAAGCTCGTCAATTCTTTTATCCTTGTTTGACACTCAGATTATGAATTGCATAGCAAGACACAAAAACCTTTCATGCCATAACATAAATTACCGACCCAGCTAAAAATCATGTTGTAATGTTTTTTGGTTTGCACTCGATCGCGCGCTTCATCAACACGAACGCTTCCTACTTCGACACACATAGGTTGGAGAGTGAAGGAAAATTTTCCTGACACTTTTAAATCGCGGTTAGAAAAAATAAAAATGTTATTCACCGGCCTGGGTCGGTCTGTATTGTGAGAAACTGTGCCAGCGGTCTGAGTACCGCCCTCAGCCTACGCCCTCGGGCGGTACTCAAGACCTCGGGCACAGTTTCTCCCAATACGGACCTCCCAGTCGGTGAATAACATATATATATTTAGTAAAATCCATCTAGTGGTCTATCATCAATGCTGCGTTCTGATTGGTTGAGCTACTACTAGGCTATATGTTATAGCCCACTAGTAGCGAAAAGCGCCGGATTTTTGGCGGCAAAAAAAGGATTAAAGTCTTGCTTTTAGCTGTTTTGTCTCGATATTTTTGACCAACTAGTTGGATTTTACTAAAACAATTATTCCTCTCGCCCTCATGGCCTCTGAGTCAATAGCCCATGAGGCCGAAGGCTCGAGGAATAATTGTTAAATATGTCTTATTAATATTGCAAGGTTAAGTGATGTTTAACGTATGATCTTTTATGAGACAAGCTGTATTTTGGCGAGGAGCACACAGCGTAAGGTGAGTCAAAACACAAGAATGGCTCTCTAAAAACGTGTTTTTCCTTTTTTTCCTTTGTTTTTCTGGCCTGTTTTTCTTTACGACAAAGTATATTTAGCATGGTTTCGGTCGCCGACATGTCGCCGAATAATCGTTCGAGTTCGCAATCCGCAATTTGGAAACTCAACAGGTACGCATAATGCGAGGTACACGGAACGGAAACACTTTATACGACCGAGTGCGTACATGACTAATGACAAACTAATGTTCATACATACCTGCTTTAAAGGAGGCTTTGAATCCTCTGTAAGTAGTAGTAGCGTTGAAATCACTCTTGAAATGTACCCAGACCATGTTACCCGGGCTCTGAATCGTACTAGGCTTGTTGGTACCACATACGGGTTTGGACAGAATTGGACCATACCTTCCATCAAAAGTTACGACAGGAGAGGCAGGCTCAGCAGAGATGGCTTCTCTCACCTCCAGGTAGTCATTTCCACAGTCTGTACTTTGTTCCAGTTCGAATATGTCAAAGGTAAGTTGTACCTGGCGTCCTTCAGGAACAATTAAGTACCATTCCCATTCGAAATTCTCAGGGTAGTTTTTCGATTCATCAACTTTTGGGGTGCCAATCTCAAAGGTTTCATCTTCCGTTGCATTTAGGACGCTTCTATACCTAGACGAAGCTAAAAAAAAGTAAAAGAACCATAACAATATATCCCAGTGACAAAGCGATGACTTCTTCAGACCTTTAAGCAACTGCCGGGGAGGGGGGAGGGTTGGCAAGTAAGACTTGTCCATATTCTCTTAAATAACTTTGTCAGCCCTGTGGGCCTCTAAAAATTTGGCACAGATCCAGGCCACCCTGGATTCGCAACTAAATTGCCGTCTACAATGGTAGGAAAATTCAAGCACGAGTCTTTATGACATTTAGTTGTGCCTTGGCTTCCTTGATTTGCACCGGTGCAAGCTCAGCGATTTTTATCCCTATTTTCTTAATTATTTTTAGACACTTTTCAAATTAAACAACCTGGATTATTCCGATTTATGCGGCCTGAAGCAAATGGAATGCATGCAGAATAGATAAGAGAAGTGATGACGTCACAAAAATCCTTCTAAAATAGGCCTGGATCGTAACGTTGCGAACCAGGTCAATTTAGAAAGATTTGTATGGGGTCATCGGGGTAAAACGGTTCTTATTTGTTCCCGCCGATTTGCAGTAACAGGCTTATTTTTGGCAAGTAAACATATTTCGTATTGGTCTTTCTGGATATGCAAACCTATCCCATAATTTGTCAAATTTGAATATTTGTGACGTCACAATTCTCTGCTCTATTGGTTAATTTAAATGACTGATTAAAGATGGAATTTGCTTCCAGTTCCTTCTTAATATTTTTAATCACGTTATCTTGACCTTACTGCTGTCAGCTAGCTTCATGATTTTATTAGACACCTTAATTCAGTTTTTAAGTAGTTTTCGCTTTATAGCAACTTTTAGGGGAAAATGGATGGAATTTGGGCACTGCCATTAAATTCAAGAAATTATGTCGTCATAACGACGTCACATTACGACATAACGTCAATCAAATTATACCTAGAGGTTGGAAATGATTAGCAAATTATTCTGTGAAATTATAGAGGCCTCCGGTCCCAGGAAGCAAAGCAAAGCATGGTCTGAATACGGGTCAAGTGACCTTGAAAGACTTTGATGACCCGTGATAAATTTCATGTCCAAGTAGATCGATGTTAGTTTGTATCCACTCTGTCGATTGAGGCTTGATACTTGATTTCAGTTTAGGGGAGAATCTTTCAATGGGATTCATTGCGGTCCGGTTCCCCTTCAGAGGGTTGAAATTAAACCCCTAAACACCAAATGAGACCAATCTATGCGTGGTTCAATCTTTACTTTGACCCCTTAAAGAAATCATTTTTAAACTGACAACTAAATCGGAACCAGGAGGAGAAGAAGACTACAAACGACCGTTTATTGGATAGTTACCTTAACACCACATGCAGTTAAAAAAAGTGTTTTCAGTGATACAACAAATGCGACATGCAATGTTTATCAGACAACCTTGATCTTAGGGTCTTATCCCTTTCTTATTCGAGAAGGGACCTCGGTTGCAGTTGGTCACGTGGCTTCCATAGTCTGGGAGTCAATAAGGATTTCCCTCAAGGGAGGGGTAGTAAAGTATAAAATTGTCATTGTTGTGGGAAAGATGCAATACTGCTCTAAAGGGCTTTAAAGCTTCAGAGTGATTTACGTAACGCGTAAAATCTTGGGCACTTTTTTTCTAGCTCTACACTACCAAGCCGCATTCTCTAACCCACTTTTGTCGCCGAAAATGTTTTTTGAAACTATAAATTAACGCTGTTATTTCGCACCAAAATTAATAAGGGTAGACATCATGGGTAATTTTTGTATGTACTTCGAGCTTCCTCAGTCGGGTCGGTGGTTAAACTTTATTAAATGAAAGAAACCATTTAAGCAGTTTTTAAAATTATATTTTACAACTTGAAATTTTCCAAATTGTTAATTACTAGAAAAAGGAATAGAAAGGGAATTAACTTACGCTTGCTGGATTTGACGATATAGGACAAGTTGAATCCTTTGTAAAAAACTGTGTCATCAGAAGCAAAACGGAACCAAATATCTCGTCCATCCTCAGCATCTTCGGGATCTGCGTCTCCTTTTTGCATGTTTCTAGTTTCCTGGAACCTGGAGGTTCTTCTTCCACATTTTAGGTTCAAAAACTCAAGAAAGCCGTAAGAGCTACCGTAGGTCAATTTGTCACACTCACAGTTTTTGCATTCTTCTATATCAAAGCTAAAAGAAAAAAAGTTCCATTCCTTACCAAGACAGAATGAGCTCCTAAATAGCTTGCGTAGCAGGCGCTAGGGAATTTCTAAATTTTAACTGGATAAATGAAATTACCACCCAGTCACATATTCAGTAAGGCCTGGGAAACTATAGGAAGGAAATTTCCAGCCAGAGAAGTGTTAAGGAAATCCTGGAGAGTTATTAAACCGCCCGAGGTAAGGGAATATAAGACAGTCTTGGATGATCTGGATTCCGGATTCCAGGCATTGGTTCCGGTCTTTGTCAGTGGAACTTGCTGGATTTCGGATTCTAATCGTTAGTGGGTGTACGGATTCCTTGAGATGTATTCTGGACTCCAAAGCCTAGGATTCCGGATTCCACGAACGAACCTTGTGCCAGATTCCCGATTCCATTACATTGGGTCAGAGGAACCTTGAAATCAAAGACCAAGCAATTAAAGATGGACTCATTTGTACGTGCAAAATCAGATGACTTGACAGCGCATAGCGTAGGTAGCAGAAACACACTTGTCATTTTTTTTATCAGAGACGTACAACGAGCAAGGTGTGTTTTATTTATTTTTTAACTCGAAGAAGTGTTTACTTCTTTAATACCCTGCATACTTATTTTTAAACAGGAATTTCGTCACGGAAAAATGATAAGATCATAACCTTTACTTTTGAATTCGTGACCTGCGTCTTTTGAGTGTTTTCTTAAACAGGTATCCAAACATAGCGTGTATCTCGAATAGTTCTGGTAATCGTTTCGTTTAAAAGACTTAAAACGAATCGCACTTTTTCTTATACCAGATAACTTTCATAAAAAATTTATCAAGGCGTTGATATCAAACCTATTTCACTGCTGTATTTTTTAATCATCAGTTGTTTTCGTGAAGCACAAAAGTCGGTAACCTCTCTTTTTCTTGGTGACTTAAATCGTTTGTGCTTCGTAGAGTGGATAGGTACAGCCCCGGGGTACAGCCTCGCAAAAGCTGAACTGAGGTGAAAAAAATAGGAGAGAAGGACAGAGGAAATGGAAGAAAACCTCGGTTCAGTTTTTGCGCACCCGTATTTGAAAACACACAAAAAACAGCCCGGCGTTTCAGCGTAATAATAAAAAGGAGTAACGACTAGTAATCACGGTTGACACTACAGCTGCCCCCGCTCTGTATATTGTCGGTCAATAGTATTCTTGCTCGTTGTTTAGCTCTTTGAAATATACCGATTCATAATGAAGATTTTCACACATATTTCAAACAATAGGTGAGATAAATACAGGAAACGCAAAGTTCCATGCACAGTTTCAGTTAGATTTACACAGCTTTGATCAAAACATTCTCAGTTTCGAGAACAGTTTATTCTAAACCATAAGAAAAGATTTAATTAGAAGTTGAATTTTTCGCTATTTCTCTTTCACTTTTTACATTCAGTTCATTTTATTTTGCGGAAAGTAATCCTTAGAAATTAAAAGGACGTTTGATCAATTCACGTTCGCGCACTCTAGTCTTATTTTAACTTTATAGCGGAAGGACATCTGTGAGCAGGGAATACTGTTCAGCACAGAATTTGATTGTCGGCGAATTTCTGTAGTCGTCCATCGTTCTGCTAGTGATAAGCTAGCCGTCGTTCACTCGTTACTGACTCGTCTTGCTTGTTTGGGGCTGAGTCTTATTCCGGTCAAAGAGAGAGAAAGAGTGTCTGGCAAGGTTTCCAATCAAAAATTTATGAACTCGTGTCTGGCAAACTCTCCAAGTTTTTATAATATATATACAGTTATACGCACCTTATAACTTCATCTGCGCTTAACGCGTGTCTTTTGGTCCATAGCTTTCAAAACAACTGCTCCACAGAATGTCACTGATAACACGTAACGCAAAAGAGTATCGAAGTATGACTGCACAATAAATGTCACAAAATCTACCTAAGCAGTCCCTTCGGGATTTTCTGTCTTTACGTCATCCTAACCCTTCGTACTTGCGGGCGCAAACAATAGAAACGTCATCATTACCTACCGATTCCTCGCGGCCCCTGTTCAAGCAAATCGAGATTTTTTCTGTCATACTGACTGTATATTTCAACTTAGGTACTTTCCTTAATATAAGCGCGAGTTACTAGTGTGCCTCCTCGGGATTTCGCCTTCTAGGCGAAATCCCTGCGGGGGCAATAAAGTAATATTTAGATGCTAGATTTCACCTTGGTTAAACGAAGGAAATTAAATTATTCTGGTTTTTTTTTGTATGGCTGGAATTTTTTTCCCAACCGCGCGCACTCAATTGGTTACTTCGAGGTCACATGACATCTAACAATGAAACTGTTTCCCGCCAAAATTTCTGAGCGGGCAACATTGCAAAATCTATGACGTCAGAGGGTAACAGTGCACTGTTACCCGCGAGGGTTGACCGCTCGCACACGGAAAAGGTTTTCTTCGTGGGCTATATACCAAATCACTTAAAGACTGGTCACGAGGTAAACAGTTCATTTTGTTTTCCTTCGGGACCAATCATTAATCGTTGAATATATCACCGATACGCTGTTAATAAGTGATTGAATATCAATTGCGCACTACTCGATGGGAACGCTTCAGTGCTACGCAATATTCTCAGCGGCTCAGATAATATGGTGTTTAAGTCAAGAAAGAGGAAACCTCGACAGAAAGCAGGCAACTGTACCTGTGAAAATATATTCCAATGTCTATGTAAGGCTTGGGAACTTCAATCCTCCAACATTTTGTCTCGTTTATTCCATAGTTGCCAGAGCTTGGATACACAAGTGTCCCAGTGGTAGACCCCGTCATGTTTACAGTTCCATTTGGGCAAACTGAAATAAAGAACCAACATTAATAAAAACGACGCTATCACTTTCTACTTGCCACGCCACAGCAAAAAGTGCAAATTCCAATTAGGCCGAGAATTTTATCTCCGATAATACTTTTGCATGAGTCTTCGAAAAGAAGTTGTTCCAGGGAGTAGTACCCGCCACTGAGCTTTGGAACTATTTAGTCAGAATTTGCCTGTGGAATGAATACAGCTCAAGGAATCCGAAATCTCGCTAATGGCAGTCTTTACACTAGAGCCTAAATAAACTAAGAAATATTTCAAGACAAGTAAATTTTAATTATTTTAAGTAAAATAAAGCTTCACACACAACCGAATCTTTTTTACTTCAGGTTAACTGAAGGCTATCTTCCCACGCAACATAATTAAGTTACATTGGTTGTCTCTACACTAGGCTATTCAGTAAGACTTAAGAGCTGCTAAGTTTTACTTAGCCAAAAATTAGTGTGTGAAGACCTAAGTAAAATCTCAAGTAACTTTACTTTGCATCTCATTAAAGTCGGAAAGTTGAGACGATTCAAGAAAGTTTCAAGCGACTTGAAAACCATCCTTATGACCGACTTAGCTGACTTGCGGTTTCTTGAGCACTGAGAAAGGCAAAACATGTGAATCAATCTTAATTATGTTGCATGGTAAAATGACCTTAGGGTGCGTTCGATTGGGAAATCTGGATTTAGATTTTAAAATCCGGATTTCGGATTTGCAATCGAACGCGAAATCCGAAAAAGTATTTCAACGCTGAGATATCTGTTTTTGGATTTTCATTTTTACCGTTCGATTGGGAAATCCGAAAAATGATTTGAAAAACTGTCCTTAAGAACAGCGGTCTTGTACCCGCACGCATACTTAGCAACAGGAAGACCACTGTTCACGAGAATAGTTTTGCAAATCCTTTTTCGGATTTCCCAATCGAACGGTAAAAAGGAAATCCATGAAATCCGGATTTGGATTTCTTAATTGAAATCCACCCTGAGGACGGATTTCTCGGAGGTGAAATCCGTTTTCGGATTTCGCGTTCGATTGGGAAATCCGGATTTAAATTTTGAAAATCTAAATCCGGATTTCCCAATCGAACGCACCCTTTTTTAGTTAACCTGAAGTAAAAAAGAATCGGTTGTGTGTGAAGCTTTATTTTACTTGAAGTAATTAAAATTTACTTGTCTTGAAGTATTTCTTAGCTTATTTAGGCTCTAGTGTAAAGACTACCATTGACATGTTTCGCCTTTCTCAAGGCGCAAGTAACCGCAAGTCAGCTAAGTCGGTCATAAGGATGGTTTTCAAGTCGCTTGAAACTTTCTTGAATCGTTTCAACTTTCCGACTTTAATGAGATGCAATAAAGAAAAGTTGATCAAAGTTACTTGAGATTTTACTTAGGTCTTCACACACGAATTTTCGGTTAAGTAAAACTTAGCGGCTCTTAAGTCTTAGTTAACAGCCTAATGTAAAGACAACCAACAATGATTGAAATCTGGAATCCAAATTCCTCTGACAAATTCGGAATCCACTACCTGGAATCCGGAATCCATGGCGACGAATCTAGACAGTCTTGGATTTCCTTACATGGAAGTAAAAAATTAAACCAGTTTTTTTTTGCTTATACATTAGCTTCTGCTAGTTCACGTCATGCACGCCTGCGCTTCGTGACATCAAGGCATGCATAGCCACAAGAAGAAAAGAAGATTAAGATTTATGTTAATTGTTGTTCACACTAGACGACAAGTTAGTTTCAAGTGAGCGCTTGATTCAAGTGAACTTGGAAATGTTAAGGCGCTCTGTAGAATACGTGGCTTCACACTTGTTGACAAAGTAAAACTTGAAGTAAAACTGAGCCGTCAATGGTAGTCTTTACCCTAGAGCCTAAATAAGCTAAGAAATATTTCAAGACAAGTAAATTTTAAATTCTTCAAGAAAAAGAAAGCTCAACACCCAACCTATCTTTTTTACTTCAGGTTTATTTAAGCCTATTTTCCCACGCAACATAATAAAGATTGATTGACATGCTTCGCCTTTCTCAAATCTTAGAAACCGCAAGTTCGCTAAAGGTCGGTTTTAAGGATGGCTTTCAAGTCACTTGAAACTTTCTTGAATCGTTTCAACTTTCCGACTTTAATGAGATGCAAAGTAAAGTTACTTTTGAGATTTTTCTTAGGCCTTCACACACACATTTTTGGCCAAGTAAAACTTAGCAGCTCTGAAGTCTTACTTAACAGCCTAGTGTAAAGACAACCAATCTCTCTGTTCATTAAAATCTTGGAACCGCTGTATGTGCAAATTGTGCACATGGCTAACCTTCCATTTCTTATTGGTCAAGTGTGTTCTTAAGTCTGGTGTAGTCCATACTTAAGGGCGACCTTCGGCTTCTTTGAACTGCGAACGTTTCCATTGTCGCCAAGTAAAGTTGAAGTAGGTACATTTTACCCCTTCACACTCAAAGTAGGATTCAAGTATCCAAGTACACTTGTACACTTATTATACTTGAAGCTCTAGTGTGAAGCTAACAAATATCATTTTGGTGTCCTCGCTATCGTTAGAAGTTCTCAATTCATCACGACCAGATATTTTTACTTACTTGAATCACAGATTCCTTTACCAAAGAAAGACAGTAAAACTGAAATGGAGCAGACATAAAAAAAACTTGATCAGTGTTAAATAAATAAAGTTACTGTCAAACTGAATTCATGTTCGGTTGTGTTTAGACTGTGGAGGTGGCGAAAAACCAGAGCGATTGTTTGTTTCACCAGTCACTGTTTGGTTTGGCAGTAGAACCAGGATAATTTCCGATCAGTGTCGCTTCACAATGTGGCTCCGCCACGAAAATGCACCTTTTTGTTCTCAAATAAGGATCGCAACCCTGAAAGCCCGAGATTCCCCAAAAGAAATAAAACAGATCATTTAGAATGCCGTCTCCCAGAGAATCTTTCTTAAACAAGTGAATCAGGGATTTCATTAAGAATTGCAGTAGCAGGAGAATAGTACGTCAGGGGCACCCGACGAGAATATAGTTGGAAACCACTTAAACATTAAAAACATTGTTAAACGTATTTTAGTATAATTTAAACGGTAGATATATGCATGTTTTTATCCCCTAAAAGTTTTTCGTCTGTTCGGATTTCCTAGCTGAACTTGTCTAGTGATCCTAAAATTATAGGGATCAAAACTTACGACTTCTCGAAACTTCCAGCCAGAAAAAAGGCTCCCGAAAATTCTAGGTGACCGTTTTAGGGTAAAAATCCGTAAAAAATGGGCAATTATACCATATTTGGGGGGTCGAAAATCCTAGAAGAGGCAGGCAAGCAAGGCAAGCAAGAAATTTAACAACAAATGTTCCGAAAATTCTAGATCTCAAATCGTCTTCCGAACAGATATTTTCCGAAAATTGTCGTTGGGTGTCCCTGAGTACGTGTGAAGTAACAGGAGAATATTTTAAAAGAGCGGAGCCCTTTCCCGGAAAGAGCTTGAAAATGACTGAGAGGAGCCAGAAAATTAATTTTGCGTTGTAAACCCTGCTGAGATGGCTTTTCCTACTGTCTGCTAGCAAATTTTATTTGAATCTCGTAGCTGCCTCGGGGAACAAAAAACATTGCATACCTCTACATGCTTCAAAACATTTTTTCTTCGAATTAACCGGCATATTGTTAAATTATGATCGACTTCTAACCCTGTTACACATTCCTAGAGTTGTGACATACCAAAGAGTGAAAATAATTCAATATTTTTAAGACATTTTCAATCGTGAAAGCACGAGACGTGAGAAACTCTTCCGGCCTCTCTCGGCGACACATGCTACACAAAAACAAATTCGCTATGAGCGCAAAACTTAACGTGTTCGGTTTAATAGACGATTTGTCGAATATCGATGAATATCTCTTCTTCGTCTCCTCTGCAGTTACAATTTATAATGTGCCGTTTTAGAAGTCATCGTTAAAATAGAATGTCTCAAAATTTGCATGAATTTAAGAACTTGCTAACGCGTCTGTCGACAGACTACGACTGAAACGTTCCTTGTAATTTCTAATTTTTTTTTGGTTGTCAAAAAATTGAGATCATGATAGCTAACGTACCTACAACTTGCAGAGTTGAAATACATGCAGTTAAGGCCATCACGTTCGTCGCGGTACTTTTTACTTGCTCCTTCTGTTCAGTCAAACTACACTGATAGCTCAAGCTTGTTGACAATGTAACACACCCAACAAGGTCTACCAGAGGCAGAAGCAGGCGGTGTGCGTCGCGAGATTCGACCAATCAGAATGCGTCATTTGTAGAGTGATTTTCGCGCTTGGAAAGAGCTCTTTTCAGAGGTATTTGTGGTGAACTTTTCGCTTTATTCCAAGCTTGTGTAGGTAATTTCGACACTATACCGCCATGGAAAGTTGTTGGAACATTAACACTATATTTTGACAGCAGTTGCGTTAGTTTTAAATATTTTGCTTTCTTGAGCGTTTGTGACAAGTTAGAATCAGTACTCGGTCATGTGCAAGCCGCCATGATGATTTGAGTGTTATTTTCGCCGTTCTTCTTGGATTCATTCCTGGTTACTGGTAGCGGATTTATCGGATTATTTCGGTTTTCGACTTGTTACTTCAACCTTTCTTCTTTGTAAATTTTGTGGTCTGCCAGGGTCTAACCCTGTTAGTTTCCCCGTTATGAGGCGTTGAAATTCTCTTGGAATGTAGCCTGCGTAGCAAGCGTTTCTGTGCGGTTTAGGAGCAAAGAATGATGAACAAGAGTCAAAGACCGCGCGAAAAATGGCGCAAGTAAAAGAGCGGGGAGGGGGTGGGGAAGAAAGGAAGGAAACGCTTGCAGACAAACCCCTCGATTTTGAAAACCGCCCACTTGGCCTGTCATGCCTGAGTTCACGCACTGACATTTGATGCAGGACAAAGCTCATCTAGACAGAACGGCTTACCGTTCTAGCCACGGCACAGACAACTAGAGTGCTCTTGTAAAAGCATCTAAGAACAAAGCTAACCCGGCAACTGATGAAGTTAGTGTCAGGAGAACCAATCAGCAATTTTGACTGAGTCACAATGCAGTTCTCCATAGTTGATGCAGCTTCGGTTTTTTTTTATTTGTAAATCACTATCCGAGAGAATTGAACATCCTGCAAAAAAAAAAA